TCTTGTGAAAACGCTCACTGCTAAATTAGACATAGCACTATGTGACAGCTGTGAATTAAGAGGCGCGAAGGCTGTGTTCACAATATATCGATCGAACCAGCTAAGTACGCACTAATTCCACGTACGGGGACTCTCGTCGAATGCAACCACATGAACACGCCACCTCGAGTTGAATAGAATACAAAAATTCTGGTGATTATACAAGTACTTTAGAAACAAGAAGAAGCGTGTTAATCTGGTTGTATTCAGCAAGAGTTCCCGTACGTTGAGTGAGTGCGCACCAGCTACTACGATAGGTTAATTGTGAACGCAACCCAAGGTGTGTGAAGTATCTCTCATACGTGTACATGGGTAATTTTATGACTTTATAAAGCAATCAGTGAGTTTCTTCAAGGCACATTTAAAACTAATTGTTCTACACATTTTTGGATTGCATGAACTCTAACTACCAATGGCTGAGCAGTGTTACAGGACAATATCTGTTGGTCGCCTTCAGTTGTATATGCTTATCGTTATTTCAGCGGTGGGTTTAATCACTGTGGTTTATGTGATAACTACCACAACCAGTAAAACTTTCTCACGTCCGGCCGTGTACCATAGGACACTGGAAAATACAGACGCTGAGATGAGTGTTATCTTGCAAAGGTAAAATATCGTTTTACATGTTACATGGTACCTAGTACGATGAGAAAATACACGTATAAAGTACAGAGGCAGCTTTGAAAATTATAAGTTGGCAATGTGTAAGGTATACTGCACGCTTTTGAAAATGTTCCAAAATTCACTTTTTTTCACTTAGGCCGGGATACCGCAGTTAGTTGGACGCTGGGGTAAGCTGGTCCCTGGCCTCTTGTCCAAAAATATCCTATGTTGTACAAAATTTGATCTTGTACCTTCACCAAATCCCACAATACCATGGAATCGTTGATCGTGAAAAACCGTTTCCTTGAGCGAAAATATGAGTCCAAATGAACCGTTTTTTTGCATCTGAAAGTAAAGTAACTTTGTTGAAGAGGGTTTAAAGTCTATTTTCATGATAGTATAAAGGATGCGTTTACGGCATTTTAGTCCCAAAATTGGCTGCAACCCTGTAGAATAAAAATGTGCACCAGGGGTTTGTTGGACCACTTGGCTCGGGGCAAGTTGAACCCTGGTTGATTCATAGTTATTTGGGCTCTTATTTTTTTTCTTCAAAGAAAATGTAAAATATTGAAGGCAATGCTTGCATAGAACTAAAGATTTAGGGAAGGCTAAAAAATTCAATGTAATAAAATGAAAATGCGAAAAACATACTCCTTAGCATTTGCATGCACTGCTGACTGCAATACGTATAATATTCGTACCTGCCCCACCTGTCATGGGGTGTGTCTTGTCAAATTGTAGGCTAAATCATGTGCACTTGCAAATCAATGGCATTGCATTTGTAGCTCAATCCTTGGCGCTAGTCCTAAAACCGGTTTTGTTGCTCTATTTCTTGTTCCCAGTTGACTGAAAAAGAACAGAAGTGTCTAACGTGGCCAACTTGTCTGGTCTCTCCCATCCGGAAAATAAACTTAATCATCTGCCCCAGTTTCGACCTTCAAAAACGATAAAACGCTATAATTACTTGTACCTGATGTCGAGATTTCCTTTTGAAATACCAGTACGACATGGCGGTGTAAATGAATCATTCAGCTGTTTCATCAGAAATAGTACAAAACATCCATTTCGTGGGAAAATCACGGATATTAAACATGTAACTATAATATATTTATTGCCCTTAGATTAGTATCAAAATTATTTCGTAGATAGAAAATGTTTTTGTTTGATTGTTTTTTCTGTCTTCTGTTTCAATGATGAAGCGGTTTACCAAGTAACTGGATGACAACATCTGCGGCGAATGCAGCTTTTCTCAGAAAATACGAAGAAAATCGTCTGCTCGAAATGACCAGGCAGAATCAATGTCAACCCCGAACTCATGTGGTTGTTCGGAAGGTCCACAAATGTGGTTCCACTACGGTCTTTAATATATTCATGAGATTTGCATTTCTTAATAACTTGACTGTGGCAGGAAAAAGAGACGTCTTCGGACCTAGCCTTGATAAACCAAAATTTGATATGATTCTTCATCATGTGAAGTACAGTGACAGCCATTTTCTTGCAGTAATGCACGAAGACACGTATTTCATCGGGCTTCTTAGAGAACCCTTTTCTCAATTTCGATCTGCATTTTCATACTACAAGAAAAGGACAGATCCAGTCTTTACATACAAGACTGATAATCATATGTTGGAATATATCCGGGATTCTCCGAAATTTATCAATGAATGGAAAAGAAAGGTAGGAAGTTCAATACCAGTGGGTATGCGCAGAAACAACATGGCGCAGTTTTTAGGTGGTTTCCGAGAAGAGAATTCGGACAATGAGACAGAAATAATGAAATACATAGATTTTTTAGACAGACGATATAATTTCGTAATTTTAATAGAACATCTCGACGAATGCCTCGTTTTCTTAAAACGTGAGCTTTGCTGGGATCTAAAAGATATCCTATATACCAAGCGTATGATAAATCGCAAGAGAAACCGTACAGAAAGCAGTGACAAGGAGTTGGATAAATTATTGTCAAATTTCACCAACGTTAATCGCCGCCTATATTCCCACTATTCTAAGAAGCTAACAAAAATAATCCACGATCAGGGGGCGGATTATCACGAGGAAGTCGAATATTTCAAACAAATTAACGCAAAAGTAACCAACTACTGTAGGAGAAGTTTTCGGAGCAATTTGCCTCCTTTGGAAGTTAAACAGTCCAAATGGTCAAATGGATTCTCAGTCGACCATTTCTTTTGCTTGCTTCTGCGGTCTGTAAGGAGCCAGATGAAACTTTAATTAAGTCACGCCATTGTACGATTGTACATATTTGAATTCATTATGAAGTCATAGCTGGTACCATAACAGCGCTATTAATAATACATTCGTGGACGGCAAATTGAAGTTCTGCAAACCAAATTCATTTAAGTGGGTGAAATGAACTATAGTCAGTGTCCAACTTTTTCCAACCATTATTACTTAGCAAAATTCTTTTCATGCTTGTATCTGTATATCTGTCAATAAAAATACCAAGGGATAAATAAATACCGTAAATGGTTACTTAAAGCGTTGTTCAACTTTGCATGTTTGTGTCAACTCCGTTCATTAGAAAGACTGCGTGTAAACCTATAAAGACATTACAATTATGAACATTTATGATCCAAAAGTAAAAGTGGGAGAAATGTAAAGCAATATGTTTATTCTTTGAAAGGTTTTTTAGTGCTTGGTCCTGAAAATGAACACCAATATAATTAACAGATCCACAAGTTGACAGCTCTGTCAAATGTAAGGTCACGCCATTTATAGATGCATATGAAGTCAATTTATTGTCACAAAAGCCAACCAAATGCCATAACTGAAAGACATTGTTTAATATTACCAGAAAAATGATATTTGAACGGATCTTTCGGGTAGCTTTCTACGCTTTATATAAATATGAGGAAGAAAAGTAGGTCAGATAAGCAGGTTAAATTTCTGACCAAAATTTTTAAAGAAAGGAGCAGTCTAAAGCTCTTTTATGGCTGATCGAGTGATTTATTCAGTTTATCCCTTGGCATATTGAATCTATTTGAGTCGTATAGGAAACTGGTAGAAGTGGTTTATGTGTTACTGGGAATCCACGCTCCACCGACGCTAGGTTCAAATGTACCTTTAAACCCATAAGTGTTTATAAAACAGTTTATACCGGACACGCCCATTACATACGTTAAGCCTGGGTCTCATCCCAACGTACGGGCTTCTACGTCTGATCTAATCCAAAACATTGGGGGAAAACGTGGGATTTCGTGCGGGAGTGGCACGCCTATCGTGCAACTTTTGGAGGTCGCAGACAGCACGTAGAAAGTTTTCGACATGATCAACAGCCGCTGCGTGCTGTCTTCTAATTCTCAAAAAAAAAAAATAATAATAATAATAATAAAAAATAAAATACGACATGCGAACGTGTAGCGTTCGCCTGTCGTGCGCCTGTCATACGGGACACGTGAGGAAATTCTTTTTTTCCTACTGCACTTGGGTGGCTACGGTGCGTGCGATGCACGTAGTTAAGGCGCTCGATACACGTACTTATTTCTTGCTCACTACGTGCTCACTCCGCACTTCCTCGCGCCCACCGTGTAGACCTCACGGGCTTCGTACATGTTGAGTAAGTAGTGGTCGCTCCATGCGCACGGAGCGGGAGTTAAAAAGGATTAGTGCACGGGGCGTGCAGGACACGAGCGAAAGCCCGTCAGACACAGGAGGTACTCCTGACGTGCGGAGGCTGTGCTTCTCACGTACTTTCCACGCACTTTCTTCTTGCGCATTCATTGCAGTCACTAATTACTTGATTCCTTCCCTGTGATCTAGCTACGAGAGGAAAAACGTACGTCCAGAAAACCATACGTGGAATTGGGACCCAGGCTTTAGTAATGTCCATTCTACACTGCTGCAGACTGTCACACTTCTGTTGTAGCTTTATCCATTCAACACTTCAATAACCAGTTTGTTTTAAAAACTAGATCTTTTAAGTTATGCAGTAAGTGATCGTTTTGAATTTAAGTGTTTTATTTCACCCTTATTTTTAATTGTAATGGTAAAAATTTTATCAAAATTTATTTAATCTGCTATTTTTTTAAAAAAACCATTTTTACAATTATAAGCTTTAAGTCTTTGTGGTGAAATCACTCCCCTGTCATAATTCTTCTAATTTGTTGTAACGTGCCCCCCCCCCCCCCCCCTGTACACTTTATGTCCCAACTCGTCCCACAGACATTGTTATTGGAAGTTTTGGAATGGTCGTTCTACCGATCCACTCTTTCGGATATTTAAAGACCCCCTCCCCTTTTAAAATTGCTGGCAGCGGGCCTGAAAGTCCTTGGTAAAAGGGGACGTGTGACGCATCACTGGCGACCAGCACCCATTTGTGAGGAATATGAAAACACACTTGCTTAATTTGTATGATTTATTTATACAGTTTTAGATCTCTGTACAAGAACACGTAGACATGGCACAGGTAAACGATACATAACAAACATGAACACAAAATTCCCTGTATTTCAAAACACCAAGAAACATCTCTTTCTGAAAACTCGAACAATAAAACTAAAAAAAAACTCTATATGCAGACGCCTTCTGCCTGAAATCATCCTAAAATCCAAAGATACATTTTACTTTGAAAACTTAAAATGATGCCCTTAAACTGGCTTCCTGGCTTCAATCCATTAAAGATAAAAAAAGTCTAAAAATTAATCAACTAAAACTGCACTGTTTACCGGCTTGATTAAACAATTGATGGGGAGTGGTTATGCAAATTTGAACGGAGAGGGGTGGAGGAAAGAGACCTAGAAAATCACATATGGATATCTGATATCTAACGTTGAATGATCTATAACAAGGCAGGGAAAACAGTACGATGGGTATACACTTACTTGGGTATCTTTGGTTCACAACTACAGACATTGCGTCTTGCTCAACTAAACTAAGATTCCTGGCCACCGTGATGGGTAAATAATAGACTTGGCAGAGCAGTCACTGCTCATTTACTTTGCACAGTTTATATAATACTGACTCGGTGGCAACAACGGCATTATCAACCAAACCAAAAGGTCATTATAAGAAACTAAATGACAAACCTTTTAGGCAAATGTTAAATGGTAAACAGCCTTGAATTTGCCATGTTAAAAAGAAAGTGTAAGGTAGAACGCCATGTAGCTACCCTCCTCTGCTATAACAGTAAAAACAGGAATTAAAATTATCAACTGCACAATCTGTCCAGCCATGATCATTACATGAACAAATTAAAATTTTAATTAAACGAACTCCAATCACTTTCCTGTCATTTCATAGTCTTTGACTGAACAGAAGATTTTCATCGTAGGAATACAAAAGTATCCCCATTTGTGACACGACCAAATGAAATAATCCTTGAACAAATAGCTCTCATTTCAAATGGAACGATACAGAATAAACAAAGACCTCGGTCACAAATTCTATAAATATACATACTCAGCTTGCTTATATAATTATTACACTAACTATAGGAGATTTCAATGCTGTTGACCTTATAATGTAACATGGATATTTCTATTTACAGATGATGCTATAAAAATGTACAGGTTCATAAATACTGTTAAACAAGTATATAAATAGATTTCTTCTCTACAGGGTACAACTCTTAACTGCCCATTCCTGCAGTGTTGCCATGGGCTGTTGCCATGGAGTGTTGCCATGGTAATGATATGTGCACCAATCCCAACTAGCCTGTACAAGTTCAATATGTTACATTTCACACTATTTACACTATGAATACAGTTGAACATTATAGAAACTGACCAGTAAACTCTCCAAAACACAACCCAGCTTGTGTTGTTATCTAAAATAGATAAAAGGTGGACATTCTGCAAGCAGCAAGGCACAAGAGTACAGCAGGAATTGTTCACATGATCCATAAAATAGATTCTGATAAGAAAACTTATTAACACTGATATAAAATGTCAGCAGTATTGAAAGGCACAATTTTCACATTTTAAAACAAAATGTCCTCGATTTTCGAGTGGTGTGACCAAAAATATTACAAAAAACTGAACAACATTGTAATTTCACAACTGTGAATGCCTTCGTTTATCAAAGACTTTTTCAAAAAAAATTAATGTTTGTTAAAAATATAAATCTGTCATTGAAACAGTACCTTCTGTTCCAAGACGAACACAAAACAAATTTCCTGGTTTTGTGACTTGAAAAAAAAAACAAATACAATGATATGTTGGTTTAAACTGAAAACACTTTGTTCTTGATCACTCTCTCCGTATAGTCTACCAAATGCATCTTAAAAATGAGTGATTTTTTCAGAAGATTGGCCTTTTAAGGTTTATCCAGCAGTTAGAACAAACCGATGTATCAAATGTCAGCCTTTCATCCCAGTGTTAGCAGTCAGAGGTGGCTTCAGTAGGTGAAGGAGGAGGAGGGTACGGGTTGACAAAAAAGCTTCGTTCTGTTGACGGTGATGGTGGATAACTCGGCTCAGCGTCTGAGAAATAATGGCTCCTTGGTGTGGGGGGCGGAGGGTACGGGTCAGAGTCATAGTTCAGTTCAGAAGATAACAAAGAAGGATAATATCTTCTAGATGTGGGTGGATACGGCTCGCTCTCCTCACACACATCTGTACTGCACGGTGTCGTATGCAGTGGAGGAATATTCCGTAACCTGTTATATTGTCTATAAGAGCGTACTGTGGAGGGACTGTTAGAGCCTGAACACACAGAGTACCCACCCACCCCACACACAGACCTGTCTGTGACGGGACTCGGAGGGGGATTAAGTGTCTCTAATGGGTAGTGTGTCACACTAGAGCTACTGGACGAGGCCCCCGTTAAGGGTGTCCTGTCGTAGGGAGGGCCCCCACTATTTCTGGAGGCGTCTGTAGTCACTGATAAACAGGTAGTTCCAGATTTACCCCTTGAACTTAACGTATTTGGTGGTGTGCTCTGCCCAATTGTGGGCGTTTGAGTTTTTGCAACAAAAATGATGTCTCTACTGGTGTCTTCAGTGACTGTCTGACTTGATTTTCTCTTGCAGGCAATCACGATGATCACCAGGACCAGCATGACTGCAATTAACCCCACCACAATGCCTACTGTGTATTGCGCTGTACTGGGTTTGATGGGGGACTCCTGAATGGTGCAGTTTCTTTCATCACTTCCATCCTTACAATCTTTTTTCCCATCACATCTATAAGAAGAAGGGATACATTTCTTTTCCTTCTCACAGTAAATCTGGTCCACAACACAGCAGGTTTCTCTCTCGTCAGAATGATCATCACAATCGGATTTCCCGTTACATTTCTGGTCCAGCGGAATACATTGTTTATTACCAGACTTGCACGCAAATTCATCATCCTTACAAGTTGGCGGGTTGCAGTCTTTCTCGTCAGATCCATCCTGACACTCAACATAACCGTCACACTGCCATGGTTTTGGCACGCAGTCGATGTTCCCCGTCAAACACGTGAACTGATTAGGGTCACATGTTGGGGGCGGGGTGCAAATCTGATCCTTCTGAGGATCTAAGATTAAACCCAACGGACAGTTACACACAGATGTGCTATCTTTTCTAGCAACACAAATATGGGAGCATCCCCCATTATTTACACTACACGGATTTAAGTTGAAATCCTTTGGCGTGATTTTCTCCACGGATTTTAAGTCAGACAAATTTTCAATCCTACCCTGTATGCGTTTCCTATCAGCTCCTGAGTATTTATTGATTCGTTCTATCAAATCCAGACCCTTATCCACCCAGTACAGATAATTTCCGTGCACCGCCACACTGATGGGGTCTTTGATTCCAGTTTCTACCAACACACGGCGACTTCGCTGAAGTCCAGTAATTTCTGCACACTCTATGCGCTGTAGCTTAGTGTCACTCCAGTATAAACGCCCAGCTTTATTGTCTATGGCCAGACCCTCTGGTTTACCCAGGTTGTTACTGAATAATATCATCCTCTTTGTCCCGTCCATGCTGGCACGCTCGATCTTTGGAGAACTCCCCATGTTTGTCCAGAACAGCCAACTGTGGACAATAAAAAGGTTCAGCATCAAATTTCATCACTTTGTAAAAATAAATATGCAAAATACATAAAAGAGATCACTTTTATCATTTTACTTATGTTAAATCCCCATGCCACACACCAATGGTCACTGCTACCAACTTCATATGATGTGAAAAGCAAACCGAGTTGACCATAATATATTTACATAGAGAAATACAAAGACAGGATTACAATGTTTACAGTTCTATTTTAAGATGTTCATATTATTTATAAATGAAGATGAAAGTGGACCTTGAAAAAACATTCTGAAAATACGAGCACCACGAGTACCATAATATACACAGATTTCCTGGATAAAACTGAGGGACTTCTGTCTTTTATTGATTTAAACAGTAAAACTAGAGTTCACATGATTAGATAAGGTCAAAGTAACATACTCTGCCTATTAAAAAGTAACATTCCAGAAAAACAATAATAAGTATCAAATTGCCAATTACCCTCTCTCTGGATTCAGAACAATAGTTCTGGGTTTATCGTTATTGCCCTGTATGATGACTCCAACGTCTGACCTGTCCACCCTTGTAACTCGGATCACGTTGTTCTGGCTGCACGTCCAGTAGATGTGGTGGGTATACGGGTCAATGGCTAGGTCAAAAGGGGAGCTGGTCTCCTCTTGATTACTGACAGTCTCCACCTGAGTGGAAAGAAACGCAACAATTCTTTATAAATTAAGATTTTGAGAAATTTCAAATAGAATTTTTGGTTATTTCAAATAATTTATTAAGGCTTTTTTCGCACATTTCATTTTAAATGAAATAAACTTGAATGTCAGAATTTTTAAAAATAAAAGTGCTGGCCCAGGTTTTTTACTTTTCTCAAAGTTGTAATTTATTAAGAACTTTAAATTGTCTAATACCTTTTTCATAAATAACCAATAAGTTTTGTACTATTTAATTCAAGTTGTGAAATCACTGCATTTTTCTTTAGAAAACTTTCTCCTCCTATTATTTCCATAAACCCTGCTAACTATGTATCAAAAATATCAAATGGATATCAGATGGATATTTTGATAAATTTTTTGTTCTTAAAAATGATGAAAAAATGGTTCAAACACAATTCACCCATAAACTCACATTACTCCCGTTCTCGTACGCTCTTCTTATTGCCTTCGACCTGCCATCTATCCAGTAGATTACGCGCTCCACGGGATCGAAGCTGACGGCTTTCACATTCCTCAGTCCATGAAGAGGCAGCACGATGTCAGGTGAGTCCTCGCTGGAGTCAGTCACCATACGGCTGATGGAGTTCCTGGTGCTGAACAGCAGGAAGGATTCTGGGGCTGAAGGGGAAATAACAGGGATGAGGACAGGTATTACTATCACCTTATTATATGTTATAGGTATTCTTTATGCTGACCAAAGTGCTGTATATGCTCCATCCTAGAGACTAGTACCATTGTTAACAAAAATCTGCTTTGCAGATACATTCAGGAACTGAATAATTTTTATTTAAAGAGGACTTGTCCATCTTAAGTATTGAAGTTTTAAGTTTTAACTTTTTACCTTCTACATGAAATTGTACCTACGCTTCACAAAGCTTTGGGTCAGTCCTTGACCTTCTGCAGTGGGTTATTATGTGACAGAGCACTATTCTCAATTTCTTGTAGAAAGTGAAAAGTTTAAACTTATGTTCATAATCAATAGGCTACAAAGATGAATTTCCACCAGCATATAGCTAAGTATTGCTAGGTAAACTATGTAAACATACGACTGCAGGTCTTGTTGTCAGAGTTCAGTCTGTAGTGGGTGGGACAGGCACAGTGGTGGGTGTATTAGTAAGTATTGCTATATAAACTGTGTATACATACGACTGCAGGTCTTGTTGTCAGAGTTCAGTCTGTAGTGGGTGGGACAGGCACAATGGTGGGTGTAGGGGGAGTTGTCTTCTTTGGGGTGAGCCAGGCACAGTTGATCACAGCCACCATTGTTTACTCCGCACTGGTTCCAGCCTGGAGAGAAGAAATACACACATTGACATAGATATGAATTTTACGCTTTTTTGTTGTTGAAAATGTAGGGAAAATCAGAAACAGGGGTGGGCAGAAGCCATCTTCTAGGTCTTCCAAAAGACAGAATTTTTCAAGTTTACATTGACAGGCATCTAATTTTTCGTATTGGAAGGCGGTTAAAATTGGAGGGTGTATCAACAAAGATAATTTGGAAGACTGTCAGAAAATATCTCTGGTTCTGCCCCTGAGGTTCACATCATGTCTGTTTACATGAACTGTAACATCTGTGAATACAACCCAGGCCAAATGACTTCCGTCTGATAATATAATAGGGAGATTTTCAATTTTACCACTATATCTTCACAATGACAAGTGGAAAAGGGCATTAACTTCTTTTCCTTTTTCTTTTGGACACTGACAGCTTGCAAGGAGGTAAAATACATTTTGTCTATTTTTGCCACAATTAGTTTCACAGCTGCATGTCTACTCATTCTGAAACCATCATATTTACACAGTGGATTCACATGAACACATGGACAAGCTAAAGCAGCTATGATATCTAATACCAAATATCACTGTACTACTCACCAGACTGTCTAGAGGCATGAAACACAAGAATATCCATGATTTTAAAATCCATCCTCTCTCTGATGACTGTCCTGTTTAAACCATTGGTTTTATTGGCTCTCTCTATGGTCTTAGTGTTCCAGTCCGTCCAGTACAGAAAGTCATCGTACATGGTTAACCCCATTGGATGGTTGAGACCGTTAGTTATAATTTGTCTTTTATAACCACCTTAAAGATGAATTGATAGAATATTCTATTAAATTGTGGGGATCAAATCTAATATACATATAGGCACCCGTGACCTTACTATCTCTCCCTCCCTCTCTCTCTCTCTCTCTCTCTCTCTCTCTCTCTCTCTCTCTCTCACACACACACACACGCACACACACACACACACACACACACACATTGTTGTTTTTGTATGGGTTAATCTCTGATTACAGAAACACATACATGCTTAAAAAAATTCCCTATCATTATTGGAGACGGTAATTTGATCATATGTCTTTTAATTATTTGTTTAACCATTTTTCTGCCATTCAAACTGCCATTTTTAAATTTTAAAATTGTCAACCCTGAACCAGTACAGCTGACCCCTGCCAGGGTAAAATACCCTTAGCCGTTATCTAGACTACTTCACAAACTGTCTCACCTTCCAGGTCCGAGGACTCAATGATAAAGGAGTCCACATCTACCCAGTAAAGCCTGTTCTGGGCGTAGTCAATGGTTAAACTGTTCACTCGGCCGTCTGTTTTGATAAGAGTTCGTCTATAAGTGCCATCCATCGCAGCACATTCTATCTTTGGTTCACTGCTCCACTCGGTCCAGTACATGTGACTAGAAGAAAAATGGACAGATATTAAATTTGGTAAAAAGATCAAAATATTTCCAAAGGGTCTAATCATGTTCTACCAAAGAGCAAGGTTTTTTCTACTTCCTGAAGTTTTAAAACAAAATAAAATGTTTCAATTAACTTTAAATAGCACAATGCACGCCAAATGCAGCAGTGACAACTTTTTCACGCAGGCAGCCCAATCTTGACCAGCAGATGTCCAACAACACAACTGATTTCATGGCAAGTTGTTGCGCTGGTGCATAGCTGTCAAAAATGTGCGCATTTTGTCAAGAACTGTTACATCAGAACTTTAACTTTTTGTGTATCTGCTACCTCAGTGCTAGATCATGCATAAATATCCAATTATTGTGTTCTATCAGTCTCTCTATCTCTTTTCTATCTCCTCTTATCTCTTACCTATTAGCTGGGTCCAGAGCCAGTGCTCTAGGACTGTCTAAGTTATTCCAGACCAGCACCTTTCTGGACGTCCCGTCTAACCTGGCCACCTCTATCCTGTTGGTGCCAGTGTCAGCCCAGTAAACGTTCTTGGCAACCCAGTCCACGGACATCCCCTCAGGAAACATTAGGCCAAACTCCACTATGTGCTCCAGAGCACTGCCGTTCATGAAGGCACGGGAAAGTTTCTGCAATATAAAACATACATTTTTTTTCATTATTTTATTTCTATCAAAGACTTTGCTTCCATGAAAATAAGCACAGATGTTTATTCTACTCGATACAGTATTTGTATTTTTTTAATGAATGGCAAATATGCATAGACAACACTTTCGACCATAAATGGTTTACTCAAGTGAAACAGAGTAGGTGAGGGACTTAAGTGACTTAAGCAATGACCTTTTGCTTCAGCTTTTAATTCAAAGTTTGCTTTTTCTTATTTACTCCAGCGTTTTTGCTTTATTACAGCAAAATCACCCTTAGGAATATAGCACAAGACATACCCTCAGCCCAATGTCAGTCCAATAGATCCTATTATCATTGATGTCAAAATCCAAGGCACTGGCCTCCTTGACGCCATTAATTGGTATCACCACCACTTCGTTATGATTGGTCTCCAAGGAGATCCTCCTGATATCAGCGCGCCGCGTGAAGAGAAGAAAGGCCTCGGGAACAATACAGGTCTTCTTGTCGGCCATGAGCTCCAGTCCCATGGGACAGGCACAGATGGGGCCCTTAGGAGGCGGCCTGAACAGACACAGGTGACTGCATCCATCATTGCTATCAGCACATGGGTTAGTACCTGGAAGATGGACATTATAATAGTGCAATACACCATACATCCCAAGTAATAAGAAAAAACAAGAAATTATAGCCCTCTATATAATATTTATATAAAGTGATGCTCACATGACCTAGTGTAGAAGAGATTTTGCAGTACTTCAAAGAAATCCAGGGAAAACAAACAAACAGAAACTATGATACACTGTGCAATGGACACAGTGGTTACGATTTTTCTTATTCAATCATTCAAAAATAAAAACATTTCAACACATTTCACCTTCAAGGTTTCCAACTTATATGTGGTGATGGTGGTGGTGATGGTAGTGGGGGTGGGGTGGGGTGGGGTGGGGAGGGGCTTGACATACCCAGTTAAAGCAAATGTACACTAAATAACACAATGAAATGTACTCAATATTTACAGTTTCCAAGTTTAAATCTGTGTGCAGTTACCTTCAATCCGTTTCACGTCCACAGCCTTAAGCCCCATCAAGTCAGGCAGCATATCCACTATAGTGGTCCTGTTCCCCCCTGTGTGCCTGTTAATTCTCTCTATTGACCTCCTCTGCCAGTCTGTCCAGTAGATGTGGTCATCTGAAGGGAACACATTGGACATAAACCTCTCTATATAATATTTAAAACCCTAACCTGGTTAATTCTCTCTATTGACCACCTCTGCCACATTTGACATATACTGGTTTTTATTAGTTTTTTCTTTAGTAATCATTTTAAAGGTGATCAAATCTAACTCCATGATAAATATGTATTCAACATATGTTGAATATATTGCAAAGATAGTACAACAAACCCTAATTATTTTACATAAGTAATAGGCATAGCAGAACCAATTCTTCCAAGGGTTATGTTATTTTTATAGCATGTGGATGGGGTATCCTGTCTACATCTTTTCTTATACATCACTTTTCAGATTTGTGCAATGTTTACAAATAATTCACCGCTTTGCGTTTAGAGCAAACTGTTTATAAAGGGCAAGTGGCTGAAAAAGTTATTGTAGAGCCCTGTATTTTCTTAAATTTTTTATCAACTCAATCTTTGAGGCAGAAACAACATCTTTTTCTCAGGTGAGTTAAAACTTCAATTTCCACTGAAAATTCTGAAAAAAAAACTTTACCAACTCACAGATGTGGCACATTGTTTTATACCTCAAAGCAATTCTCCTTGACACCAATTCCACACCTACCTAATAAACTAAACCCAAAGATATGAGGCAGTCTTTCAGACACTAAAACCCGCCTCCCTGTTCCATCCATGTTGGCAACTTCAATTTTGTCAGTTTTGGCATCACACCAGTAGATCTTCTTCTCTTTCGCACTGAGGGCCAGGCCATTAGGCCACCCCAGTGAGGTATTAAACATGATAACGCGATCTGAGCCATCCAAATTGGCACGTTCTATTTTGGGAAACGTCCCCCAATCAGTCCAATACATGTACCTGAAATGACAACATACACAGAATATAAACATATACTAGTACATTGGTCTAGATAAAGAATATACCAATTTATCATGTGAATTATAAAGAGAGTATAACATATTCACATTTAAGAAACATATTCAAATACCAAATATGCTGTGGAATTTTTTGTGCTACACAAACAACGCTTAAATGGTCAAAAACGAGATCCAAGAATTGCCAGGGTTGAACCTGACCTGCATTTAGGACCACAAGTAACCCCAGCAGGTTACAGCTTAAACAGGGTTACCGTTGGGATTATACAGCGTCCAGAACAGTGTTATCAATAATATTTGTGAGGAATATTCTTACCATAGTTTTTTTTTTAAACTTGACCTGTGCTTAAATATAATAAGTAATCATCAAACATCAACACTGCTTCCCAATGGTTACATTTAATGATAATGTTCTAGCCTATGGTGACAGCGACAGACACAAGTGATAGCTATATATACAGGGACTACTCAATCTGCACATATATATATATCTCTTCTGTTAATACAGAAAAAAGGTCCAGAATTCAAAACTTCCATGAACAATTGTTTACATCAATTATATCTTATCATTCCCATTTATTAAATCATTTTTATGTCTACACCCCACAATTTTCTTTCAATCTTTTTTAAAAGACTTTCACATAAACAAGTCAGGAGACATAACAAGGCTCAAGGTTAGTTACAGGAAAAAATCTTGTCAGTTGAACAAATTGGAAGGAAGTCAACCTGGCTATCACCCAACATAGGAAGCCACAGATGCCAGGGTTGCTTCCTTTAAAAGTAAATGACATATTGGACCAAGTGGGACAAAGCTCATTCTCCTCATTGTGAGGATGACATTGTGTTATTCCGCCCATCTTCATTTCAAATGCCACATGACAATATCCGTGCCAGAGAATTACAACTAAATCTCTCCTATGCTGGCCCACAGAGAGCAGATCAGAATACAACAGATTTTGAAAAGAAAAATAAAACTTTCTGTAATGTGCAGGAAATAAAACATGTTAAAAGGTTTCTCCTGTTTTTTAGTGTAAGAGACAGATTCAACAAACATCTCCTTTGGCTTTAGTATTCTGGTTTGTGTCAAATATTTCTTTCATCTTTGATTTACAAGGGAAAACACACACACAGCACTGCCTTTACACACGCAAATAGAATGATGTTTACAAAATGCAACCAGCTCTTTTTTTTTTCAAATAAAGCTGAATTGTGATAACTTATCTAACCAGCAAGTAAATCAATTCTATATTAATTTCTAATGACAATTAAGCCATGCATGGGTTTCTATTTATGTGTCCATGACTTTTAACATGTTAACATGTTAACAATGGAAAGTTCCAATCTTAAGCATTAAATTTATTTAAATTATTTTAAATTTATTTTTATTAAAAGACAAGACTATTCTAAACCATCAGGCCACAGTCTGACAAAGTTTCATTGAGCTACATAAATGATTTTCTTCAATAAAAATGATTTTTAGGCATCAAATTATTCTATATACCACATGTAATTTCTAACCCAGATGGGAATTTAACATTTATCTATGAAAAAGTGCACGGCAATGACGCTGCTGGCAATGACAGGCGGAGGTGACAGCTATATTTACAGACACAATGTGCCTGTTTATAAAAATACGATTAAGACTCTACAAAACATAATTTCTTACCCAGCCTGCGGGTCCAATGCAATGGCTCGAGGTTCTTGTAAGTTCTCTGTGATCAGTACTTTCCTGGACGTCCCATTTAACCGAGCCACTTCAATACGGTCCGTCCCCGTGTCTGTCCAGTAGAGATTACCTGCTATCCAGTCCACAGCCACTCCATCAGGATTATCTATCTCCTGGTTGATCACATCTTCTTGTTCTGGAACAGGGAAATATATATACATGTAATGTGGAATTTTATAATGTAGTTGCTTCATAAGAAGTTTTTGGGGGGTTATGTTTTCTATAAACCTATTCTACTCACCTCAACAGGCAGAATACTCTACAATATTTTTTTTTCAACAAAGACCTTTTCTCTTACCTGTGCCATTAAGGTAGGCTCTCCTGATTGCCTTCACCTCATCATCTGTCCAGTAGACGTACTCTCCCACAGGATCAAAGTCTACGGCTATTGCATGGATAATGTTATCAAACTGTAAGACTACGTCCGTGTAATCAGGGGTGTCTAGGGAGATCCTGCGGAGATCTGCACGTCTGGCAAGGAGTAAGATTTGCTGAGCACCTGAGAAAGAGGAAAAAGAGACCATTACCAAGCGTTAATGGATTAGACAGTGTGTTGGTTGACATTATTTAGTTGTGTGTTAGTTGAGACAGTGTTTGTTGTGCCAATGTATTGGCTGAGTGTATTAGTTGTGATTATCTTGAGTGTTGGTTGTGTTGGCTGTGACATTGTGTTGGTTGTGACAGTGCGTTGGTGTGTTAGGTGTATCAGATAATCTTACCATCAGAACAGTTATGACATTGTGTTGGTTGTAACAGTGCGTTGGTGTGTTTGGTGTCAGATAATCTTACCATCAGAACAGTTGTGACATTGTGTTGGTTGAAACAGTGTGTTGGTATGTTAGGTGTGTCAGATAATCTTACCATCAGAACAGTTGTGGCCGTCAGGTAGCAGGCGTACTCCCGTGGGGCAGGCACAGCTGTAGAAGGGGTACAGGGGAGAGATTAGACACAGGTGTGAACAGCCACCATTCCTGGTACCACATGGACTGATACCTGCAACAACACAGCATACATATCAGGCTTACAGTCTTAAAAAGATCACTCTGCGATATGACACATAACTTAATCCAAATATATAAATGTTTGGTATATAAATATATTATGTGAAACAGAATCAAGGCACAATATGCCTTAATGTAAATCAGATAATAAAAAATCTTAATGTAAAATATGATCATATGGCATTTTCCCTTAAAAAAAGATTCTACCGCATCAAATTTATCTTTTGGTAGCTTATTTTTAAGTCTTATACAGCTAAGTTCTAGGTGAAAAACATGAACAATTCTCAATGATTTCAGTTCATTATAAATTCCAGTATATTCAAATCGTAAACTAGGTCATTTGATCCATGGGAAGGAGATAGTTATGATTTATATTCATGGAAATGGGATATTGTTAGAGAGAGTTTATATCCCTGGAATTAGGGAAAGTGGGCTTTTTTTACTTTCTGATTTGGGAATGATGAGGAATCTTATTCTTTGGATCAGGAATTGTGAAGATATTTATATCCCTGTGAAAATAAGAGATTCACCTTTGAAAACAAGACATCTATTGTCTCTTCACAAATAAACCTCATTCTATACATTGTTATCAGTTGTGGCTCACCTATTCTGCAATATTTTACTGAATTTATATCTAAATGTCAAAATTGTTTTACACTGTCTGCATCAATACAGTTTCCACAGTCAATTGGCTTAAATAATTGAATGTGAACCACAGGAGTGGCGTAAAAAGTGCTGATTAGCCCAATGGCAAACCCAAGATTTATTACCCTGCGTACAGGTATGGATTTTATACTGTGCGTCTACACCATGCTATTTCATTATAAGGCAAGCCAGCTACCACTAGCTACTCTCAGCCTATTTCATCACACACATCCAGGATGATAGATGTGCCTATTAAGAAGTGTGATCCATCGGGCGGCCACATCTGAGTTTCCACTAATTATTATTTTTTCCCTCTCAGCCCTTAATTCATAGCGAACAGCCTCAAACAAATATCATGTGATGTAATTATCCAAAGGGAAATGACACATCTACTATAACAATGGCAAGTCATCAATCATAGTCTACTCTCTAAATATTCCCCTGTCAACAGAAATATGATCTTCAAGGCACCAGACACACTAAGGTGTTCTCTTGCAATACTGCCTTCATTGATAGAAAAATTCTTGACATTTAGCAGGCAAAATGAGTGCTTTGTTCTTTGCAGATTTTCTGGAGCCAACTGATTTGAACTGCTGGGAGAAGTAGAAGGAAACTAGTGACAGGTACTACTTGAAATGAGAAACATGACAAAAGACACCCTTATTAAACCAGGTGTCTGAGAAATCAGCAGAAATCTCACTGTGTTTTAAAACATTGTTAGGCTGATTTTTTCAATTTTTTTTAATTTTTTTTTTTACCTACATGAATCACAGTCATACCAGACAGTCATTTTGTCTAGTTTGTCAAACAACAGCCGATGCTATTATAGTTCTTTCAAAAAACTTATGTTAAAAGTTCAAAGTGAGTTTTTTCGTGCATTATTCAAACCACCCAAACAGCTTTTTTTGCACAAAAATATAGGCATGCGATACGATGATAATTTTTCATAAAGATTCTATTTCTGCCACTGCTGTCTGTGGCTCAAGGCCAGATTGAAGCCATGGTAAACTTGAAGAAGAAGAATGCTATGTATTCAATCTGTGCTGGCAGTTGAATTATCTCTTCGCTATTATCACCTAACCACAGAAACTGACACCACATTATCAGCGCCATTTACCTCTCAGCACACACGCCAACTAGACTGAAATAGACGTCAATTTGAGATATAAATTTTCCAAAATGTTCATCTAAAATCTGAACATAAATTAGAGACACATCACTGAATGTTTCTAGCTGCTGCAATTTGCTCTTTAAATAAAAAATGGTTTTGTCACCATTTCATGAAGAGTTATTTTGATAACAAAGACTTCGAGCGTCCACGTCAAAGAGGAAAAAAAAAGTGATGAATAATAAAGAGTCAAAGTTGGCGAGCCAGAGACACGATCTTTTGCTTAAATATAGACGTCTGCAAAAAATTGGTTAGTGTCTCAATACAGATAAATAAAAGTACACTGCACAATTATTTTGCTTTAATTTGCTTTTAGTTTTGATAAAAAATACATTGTGCGTTTGATTGTGTCAGAGAAAGGCAGAGTGTTTGTGTCTTGTTGTAAGGCCACAAAGGTGAGAAGAAGAGGCATTAAGCATTACATTAGAACTCACAAGAATGTCTGGCTATATATCACAGCCCCCAGACAGCTGGGGAATGGGACGATACTGACATCAAGTGGGAGGAGGCAATTCATTTTTAGCGGTGCTCTATCTTCAAATTTGACTAGCTTGACTTGACTTTGGGTTCTGCCGGAATTTTAAATAGGCCATAAATGCCTGTTAAGATATAATAGTTGTAGTTGAAAATTTCATGCAAGATGTTAACTATTCTTTGGAAGATTTCAATGACAAAGTCGGTCGTTAAATTGCGTAGAGTGCAAAGTGAGAACTTTTTGTGGTTTTTATCCAAGATGAATTTTCCGTAATTGATATTTTTATTATGGAGCACTTGATGGGGTAAAGTAAGTGGAAGATCCTTGATTGAATACGATTCCTTCTTATTTTTCAACAAAAAAAAAACATCTTTTCACATTAGGGTTGAAAAAAAAATGCAAACAAAAGGATAACAAAGGTGGGATTTTAAAGAAAACTAATTCATCATCTGGCAGAATTAAGTTATTCATTGCATTTTTTCTCCTATCTCTATATTCAGAGCTTGTTCATAAATTTTCTCATCCAAATAAACATCACTACAGCAAAATGAAATGGCATACATTAAAGGGAATAAAAAAGGCAACAACACCTCATCTAAATAATAAATGGGACTTTCAATTATTTTGCAAACCGATACCCATCTATCAGCAGCTGATAGCATTAATAACCATTAGCCGTGTTTGGTAAAAAGCACATTCACACGTCAGTAGCCTAGCACCATTACTCTCATTAAATGTATGTCCCCTAGTGGCAAGTGTTGCATAGATCACATCAAGGTAATACCAGCTCATGTCATATCATATACACAGGGGACAATTAAAACACTGACCACTCAGGTAGACATATATCACAACACACAAAGGGGGCGCTGGGATCTAGTTGGCTAATTTTATTTCAACCAGGGATGAGACAGCCATTTAGTGAAAAAGAAGGAAAATATGATGTGGGATATAGGGGGCCGCCAAGGCCAATGATATTTTTAGCTCCTAAAAAGTCAGAGATCTGCCAATAGTAGGAAAAATCTCATCCTTGTTCAAAACACACTGAAAAATTTTTGACAAAAGAATTAGGTTTTTGCCAGTTTTCCATTGATTTGTTCCAAACCAGCTAATGGGCTGAAATGAAAATGAAGCCTGTCACAAAAGCCATGTTCACAGCAGTGATGATAACAATTGGTGCTAAAGTAAAGATGATGGTGTAGATATGAAATATGGCATGTTCTGGGGCCAGTCAACAACTGATATCAAAGTAGTAGCACATTTAGAACAGCAAACTAACAGATCCATGGATCAAAATGGTGACCAGCTTAAAAGCTTGCCGCTTAATTCCAAATTAGAATAGCTTCCCCCGCGGGGATTACGCAGCAAGTATTCAAGTGGGTCAGCCATATTTGATCCGCGGATCTGTTAGTTCGCTGTTCTGATTGCGCTCTAAGCTTAGAATTGTCAACATGAACACACCACTAGAGAAATTCAAGAAATAAATAAAAACTGCCTACTTTATAAACAGCACTGAAGAAGGTTCAGATAAATATGTAGAAATGAAAGCCGTTTGCCAGCAGGAGGAAACTGGGTATCAATCAGGAGAAGCAGGGAAATATTTCATCACAGAATGATTTATTTTACTATAGCCCACAGAAACCATAGAAGCTATTTAAGCTGGTGTACTGGGTTCAATGGCCGAGTTATCACCAGCTAGGGTGTGCTGAAGATAAACCCTGCTTCTCTGAACTAGCAGTAAACACCAGAACTCTAGAAATATCTAGACACTGGAAGAAAACACCAGCACTCTAGAAGTATTAGGTGGGTTCACAATGAACTTTTGGAACTATTTACTGCACACTTACAACATGAGGACTCTTGCTGAATACAATCAGATTGAAATGCCTTCTCTTGTTTCTTACATACCCATATAATTACCAGCTTTTCTGTATTGTACTCGATACCAACGTACACCTAGAATATCAAATTTATAGAGAACACACCCACACAACAACACACAGAGGCTTGAGTACTGGACACCCACTATACTGACTACTGTATTAAAATGCTGTTCTAGGGCCAGGGAGATTTACTGGAGGCCCTGGAGTGGGCATGATTGATGATGTCTAAGACACAATAATGAGAAGCATTGATCAATAAATGGTGCCATGAGATTTATTATGCCTTGTAGTTTAACCATGATTAATGGGAGAATTCAGGCAACTTATTTCATTCAATAAGTCAGGTAATACATTGAATTTGGACTGTCTGAGATCATAGATTTCACTGGAATCTAAAGCTTGGAGTGGAAAGATCTTTTACATAAGTTTTTTTGTCACTATTTCTCCTCAGAGGATGTCAAGACTCTCTACTCCTCTCCTCCAGGTAAAGGATAAGGTTTAAAATTACCTCACATAGCTAAGTTACTAATAACACTTTTGTCCAATTATTGGTGTTCTATTAAAATATAATTAATCAAATCTTTATTCCTCTCTCTTGAAACTAAATGAAATTGTAAAAATTAGGACAGAACTCTTCAATCAGAAGACAGAAGATGTGGACTTGTTGTCGTGTCTCTGAATAAAATAAAATACCTTCCTGTTCAAACACAGCTCACCCGTATGGTGAAACAATATAGAGCATTTATGTATTAATAATCATTCCATTATTATTATTATCTGAGGACCCAGTGACACATTTTTACATTTCCAGATCCTCAGCTGCTCACAGTCTACCATCTGTAGACAGAGAAACCACAGCACACTGCAGTTAGTTTATGGTATGATTTTGAATTTTAAGAAAATGTAGAAAGAAATATCTCAATAGCCTATCAACTGGGAGTCTGGGCCTGCATATGTTGGAAAACCACTTAAAAAGAAAATTGGATTTTTGATCCTTCCAGTTCTTACTGCCCTCTCCTAGCCCTCCCTTGCTGACACTTCTTCCAGCTCCAGGTCAATCTAATAGCTTTAAGGACATATTTATACATACCAGGCACCTCTTAGTTCATGGTCTTATAATGGTCCAACATCTCAATTTTTTTGGTCCTTTTTTTTTAAATTTACCACTTTTATTTAAATAGTACTTAATAACATGAAGTCAGCTAGCTGTTCAAAAAAATGGAATTAAGAAAAATTAAGTACTACTAGCAAAGCAATGTTTAAGGGAAATTATTAATACATTTTGTTTGACTCTAACAAGTAATTATCCTAGCTATCCAGGCACTTGTCCTCACCTCTATAGACTTATCACCATATATGACAGGTGGAGGCCATGATACAGGATAAGAGATGATATTGTGTATACATACAAGATGTCTGCCACAATGTAACTATCATACTAGGTACATTGATCCATCTACTCAGGGACTCTTGCTGAATGCAATCAGAATACCATGCCTCCTCATTTCGAACTTGCTTGTGTAATCACCAGTTTTTCTATATTCTTCTCAACACCAGGAGGTGTGTTAGTCTGTTAATCTAATATTGCATTCAGCGAGAATTCCTGTTCAACCTACCTAATACAAGTTTCATTGTGCACGCAGCCTTAAACAGTACACTAAGTTCTGTGAAAGCAATCCTTCTTTCACTGGAGATATATGTGACATGGGCACGTTGTGACGCTCCCTAACTCTCAATATTGTCTTGTTATCATGGAATGTTCTATTATAAATAGCAGATGACCTATAATATGCTACAAGCATTGTCTCACATCCAGATATATGTTTCCTTGGCCTCTAGGTTGAAAATAGATTTCATTTGGGTAAATGTAAACTGCTCAGGAAACAAGAATGAGAATGAGATTTGAGGTGGTGGTGGTGGTGTTTGGGGGGGGGGGGGGGGATGGAAAGTAGGTGGGAAAGTGACAAATTCTACTAATTATATTCAGCATCTCCATTTAAGCTAAAAGTGATCTTGAAGCTCAAAGTAATAAGGACAGAGGTTGGATGAACAAGAGATAATTTTTCTTACCTGGTTTCTGCCTGCTCTGTGAAAAAGCATGAATATCCATTGGTGAGTAAATCCCCTCATGAACTGTCATTCTCTGACTGCCGGTGATTTTGTTACTGTAATGTATTGCACGCGATTTCCAATCCGTCCAGAATAACATCTGGTCCGTGACGGTGAGAGCAAAGGGGTGAGGTAGGTCCCCGTGCACAATCTGCTGTCTGTCACTACCGTCATAGTTACAACTATGTATAAAACTAAGTTTTGCATCTGCCCAGTAGATTTTTTGTTCATCGTAGTCTATCGTCAGGCCATTTGGCCAGAATATGTTGTCTTTGATAATGGTGGACCTGGTCTCTGGTTTTCCATCCATACCAGCTTTCTCAATTTTTGGTGTTTCTCCCCAATCTGTCCAGAACATGTTCCTGAAATGATTTTAAAATATAAAACTCTGGCAAATATACTATGATTAGTATGCATAATAAATAATATATTATAATAAATCATTGGCTCATGAATAATAAATTCACTTTATGACATCAACCCAGACAGCATAAGTACCTGTAAGTAACAGGAGTAGACATTTAGAAAATTAATAGGGTGTTTCAATAATCAATAATAATTATTAACAGGGCATTTATCCATAAATATAATTACTAATAAGACAATCCATGTAAGTAACATAATTACACTGTCATAATTTTGGCAGCAAAACTAAAATTCAGTAACCATGCTGATTACAGCACCCGTAAAAACTACTAGGGCCAAATCCCAAGGGTATCTTTACTGTTTCACCTGCTTCTCTTAAAAATATCATTGATTCATTGGATGAAAAATGTAAGCCAAGTCAGTTACATCACCCTGTTAATATGGCATATGAAATTTTGAGAACAGCCATAGACAGCAGAATGTATGACCCATACCTAGATCAATCTACCAGGATCAATCCATCTCTAAGGGGTTTCTCGCTAAACTGCTTTCAGCTTTAGCAGCTTAGATGTCTGGCACACCTATTGAAGCTGCTAAACAATAATTAATTGCCCCCTAGCTGCTTCAGTAGGTGTGACAGACATCTAAGCTGCTTAAGTTGATTGCAATTTAGCAAGAATCCCCTTGGAGATAGATCGATCCACAGTAAGTATGATAGGGTCTGGAAATTGCGTCCTCCAGCACTAGGACTGAGGAGCATATCTTGGCATGTTTGGGTTGGCAGGCGCTCGGGATGTGTCATCATTAACGCTAATCTAACCCAGGGTTGCTGAAGTTCTTTCAACAGATTTCTAATATGTACTGACAAGTGGCAAGGATATTTGCAGACATATTAGAGAGGAGGGACAAGTCTTTTTCTTGGACCTCTTATTTTCTGAATTCTCAAGATCCTTACTGAGTTTATTAAATTGATGCATAGTTATTTGAAGATTTTCCTAATTCCATTTTCCATATTCAAAATTTTAAAATACCTATTTCAGTAATGGCTCTTTGAAAAAAAAAATCAGCCAGAAAGAATGCCCTGTACAGAACTGTACTGTAACGACCACTTATTTCAACCTGTTTTCCTGTTTTTGGTCCAGTAATCTGAGGCAGGTTCAAAGGCAGTTCCACAATTAACCCCTTACACTTCAAACTAACTTGTTACCAACAAATTCTTGAGCAGAAAACAGGGATTTTAGCCTTGTGCTTCTATAAACACGCAGAACCTTGCTTAATCAAAACCCTATAAATTTAAACCCAAAACTTACTATTAGCTAATTGGAAATCATGCTTCTATGAAAAATTGTCAATCTGAGCTTCTGTTCTTTCAAATATTATTTTTCCATGTTTTGATCATCTACAAAAACTGCCTATTTTAATTCAGCTATATGATACACACCATAAATAATGATCACCTAGAAAAAAACAGAAATTCTAGGAAATTGTGATGCGACCTGCCTGCCCTCATCTCTATCTGCGCTCTACAGTGACATCAAACAAGCTGTTTTTTTATCACACAACCGATTATTGTAATAAAATACACGATAACATTATATCAAAGGGAAGAACTGTTTGACTAATTGTGCGTTGTGCGTACAACCAGCATACGACCACGTGCGTCAGCTCCATTTACGCACAAGTATAGAAGCAAGCACAGCGTATTCAAAATGTGTCACAAACTGATGTACAGTATGGGAGTTTTACTTCTTTTAGCAGGAGTCATTTTCCAACCGTGTCTGCCCATGCACGCAAGCACACACATGCACATACATACAAAGGAACATGTGACGTTAGGTGCATTTTTCCAGTGGGATACTTGAATGGGGAGAAGGGACTTTCACCAGTACTACGCAATACACCTAAGGGAACCAGAGTATGTTTTGTTAGCCCCTATGGGCTTCTGAGCTTTGTTGGTTATTTCCACCTGAGTGGGTCCCTGATGTAACAAACACACACACTGTAGGGAGAGGTATGTGGTTCCACATGCCATAGGCTAACAACACACAGTCATGTGGACTGATGTCATAGACGGCGCATTCACGTTAGATTTAGGTGGATCACCTCTACCCCCATCCAAATCAAGACCATTCTCCTCCCTTTTGATACCATTTGGCTTCTTCATATTTGATGAGAAACTCTACACCAAGGGCCAATTCACAATGTATCTATGGTAAAAGCTAGTGTGCACTGACTCCACGTGGACTCTTGCTGAATGCAATCAGATTAACACACCTTCCCCTAGTGATGAGTACAGAAAATATGGTGATAATATGAGTATGATGAAAACAATAGGAGACGAGTTGCTTTAAAATATCTAGTATGATAGTTTTAGACCCCATTCCCACAGATTTTAGATCGATCTATTCCTGTGGGGAGTCTCACTAGATTACTGTCAGCTTAGCCGGCTTAAATGTCCGTCCCGCCTACTGAAACCTGTAAGGGGGTAATTAACTACCGTGCGCACTCGTTTGACAGCAATTTAGCGTGAACCCCCAAGGAGTTAGGTCAATCCGGATGGATCGATCTAAATCTCTGGGAACGCACTCTTATTGTGAAACCCTTAAGCATCCTTTGTGTTGTAGGGAAAGTGACAAGAAAAGGTCAAAAACAATTTCAGACCAAAGGGAATCTTTTGTGTAAAGAGTCATTTATAAAACTGACCCTTACTTCTGGTGTTACATTAGGGCTTCAACTAGCTCTGTGCTTAAATTCACTGGGGACTTTCATTTGGAACTTTCAGGAGTGACACTGGTGCCAAGTTTTACACTGAAGGAAGTATTTGTTACCAGTGAGGAAGGACTCCAATACAAACCCTTGTCAAGGAAAAGATTCATTAGAAATTGTCATCATTGCGCGCCAGGGATGGTTGTTAAAAAGTGTGGACTAGTTTGAATACAAGTACTAGTAAGAGTGAGGTGTTTATTTTTGAAATGGATAAAATCTATTGGTGGAGAAATTCACCTTCAAAAGTGAAAACATCAAATTGTTGTTGATAAAATATTTTCAATCATCTAAAAGGAAAAAAAAAAACAACTTAAATTCAATAAGATGGAATCCGTGCTATGTGTCACATGTCACAATGTTCACTTTACTTTTCACACAACTTGAATTTGATATCAAACCATTCACAGTTTTTCACAGGGCTGTAAAAACTTGGAGCACAAATTCTAATCAAATAAACTACTTAAAATCATACACAAATAACTGATAAGTCAATATTTTCATGGACTGAAAAAGAAGGTAAAAGGATAGGGACCAATTCCAAGCAAACCCTTTTAAATACGCATGCATGGCAGCCTTGATTCTAATTTACTTTTCATGCCTCCATAACTTGGTGGTATGTTTATCCAAACAACAATGGCACGCTGCTATTGCTTTTTTTTCTTACACATGTGACCAATGTAAAGTGGGATATTATTATTATTATGCACCTATAACCTACAGATAGGTATGTTCATATAATTCTAAAACATCAATATATGAATATTATGGATGTACTTTCATTTCATTTGTGAAAAAACTCCTCTTTGATGTCTGTGTGTGATTCTGTGGGATATATACTGTAAGTCACCCTCTCACTACACACCTATAAACACCTTAACGTAGTCTTTATTATAACAGCAGCAGGAGTGGAATTCCCCCCCCCCCCCCCAAACACTGGGACGTGCTTTTCTGCATGGTGCAGAGAATCTTCTGGAGATACCAAATGTGTCTGAAGATCAAATTACTGCAATACTAAATCACAAGATAATCCAGCAAACACTGTGTTTCCTGGTGCTATGGCTCATGGTACTGGGGTTCTACAGGGAGAGATAATGGATCTATCCTGCATGTGATTTTAATCTTTTATGAAATCACTTAACTCAAAATTCCTTTCAATGTACTTCCAAGGTATTTACTTTAAAGAGATGGAAAGTTTTCAGAAAAAGAAAAAGACTGAGGATTGCCACAGAAATATTCAGTGTTATTTGACTTAAAATGTGTTTAATATATTTACCCATTGAGTGGATCAAGCGCTATTGCCCTCGGTTGATCAAGATTTTGCCAGAATAATACTTTTCGAAAATTTCCATTGAAATCACTGACTTCTATCCTGTTGGTTTCGGAGTCCGTCCAGTATAATTTTTTCCCTAGCCAGTCACATGCTAGGCCGTCCGGTGCTATTAATCCTGTACTGACGACTTTGATTGCATTTTTGGTTCCGTTAGGAAAAAGGTACGTTTTCATGATCACCTCCAGGCTCACATCTGTCCAGAAGATTATTGGCGTTGTTGCGTCATAGTAAAAATCCAAGGCGGCGGCATCCTCCAGGCCGCTGACGATGATGGTGGCATTGGCATGTGGATTCTCTGCATCCACCATTCGTACATCCTTACGATTTGCAAATATCAACCTTGGTTCACCTGAAATCAGCAGCAGTTTAATTTTAAGAAAAAATTCAAATTAAGTTTACAATCAGTGAAAGTAAAGTTTGTTTAAAACATAAAAGTGAATCTTTTGTAAATTGTATCACAATACCATTGAACTATGATGATTTATCAACAGCTGAATAAAGGAAAAAACATCTTTCAACAATTACTTTATTTCAGACATGATTTTGGACTGGAAGAAAAAAGTAGGAAGAAATGGCACCAAGTCTGAACAATATGATGATAATTAATTTTTAGAAAAGTTCTGTAAAAATTCCCCAGGGTCATCTAAACAGGACATATTGAAGAGGACAGGAACTTGTTGACCCAGGGGCAGACCTAATACTATGATGTACTGTACTCTATTCTGTGGGGAATGTTTTTCACAATCAACCAATAGGTCACATTTTGATAGCTGTTCACAGTATACGGCTGACAGAATGAACACAGAAAACCACACTAATCAATTGCTGTTTTCAACCCTTGTTTCTTTTGAATTAATAGCCAACTTTACCCACTGGGAAAAAACTATTGGCTCTGGAAACAACCAGTGTTAATCTAATGACCTGCCAGCACTGAGCCAGTCAAACTATCCACCATGCAAAGAGCAAAGAGTTAATTCTGAAACCTGTAACCTGTACATCTTAATTCAAGCCAGCTTTGCTCAAATCTGGTGTCAAATTTGCCAGCCCTTTCTATGTGTTGCTATTTTAATGCATATTTCGTCAGAGAGAGAATGATTCAGTAACACTGGAGAAGTGTTTTCATAGGAGTGAAAACAGACAGAGCATCTATCAAAATAAAACATTTAACATCACCTGGGCCTGAATATGGTTAAATAAGACTGACAATAACAGGCGGTGGAAATTTTTAATTACTACCAATTTTAATCAGTCACACTTTCTTCAAATAAACACCTTTCAGCCATATTAATCCGTTGTTTTTTTTATTCCTTCATTCACATTAAATGGACCACTATCTCTCACTCCTATTTCTGTCCATATCCCATACATATGAAGTATCAAGGTGCTCTCTCCTTTCCCCTCTTAATAAATATGTTCCTTAATTGAATCTTAAAGCTAAGGTCAGGCAGAGACAGGCAGGGTCAGGGGGGACTGTTTGATCTCTCTATTTGCAGCCTAACCTCTCTCTCACCCCGGGGGCAACCCCTTTTCCTCCAGTACAAAGACTACAACAGATCCTCACCCATACTTAGATTAGCCATGGATTAAAGGACGAGTTATTTTGAAAAATTTGCCTCATTCAACCCAAGCAGAGTCAATACCTGAGGTATCTTTCAGATGCAAATGCAGAGAAAAGGGGCAAGGTGAGAGTAATCGCCCTCAGGTGTCATTCATAACCTCACAGCGGAGACAGGAGAAGAATGGCCCCCTGTGCCCCTGCACATGACTGAACTTACACCTACAAGCTTAGGAGGGAGCTGAAATAACTCCGACCACAGTCCCCTTTTTTAATCAAAGCAGCAAACTCACAGAGGCAAACTGCAGCCTCTTCTAGCTGTGGAACTCAAGTGTGATGTCTTTACTGAGAATGAGAAATAACACAACTTTATTGCTATCACTTGTAAAATGTTGAATTTATTAGCAAATGGTCCAAGAGGCAAAGTCTAGGTAGGGAAAACATAGAGGTCATTACTCAACTTTAATAGCGGTATTCCTTGGCACTACGGTCCCTCCCCCCCCCCCCCCCCCACAAACCCTGCCCCCTGTGTCACGCCTCTCTGCACATAAAGCTGAAATTAAGATGCGTCTTCATGTCTACTGCCACCATGAATGGAGATATTAATTAAACCTATGGCCATTAGTGTCAACAGGGAAAATCAATAGGAAAAATAATGTGAAGCAGAGAATAGTAGTGGATCCTTCAGAAAGGCAAGTTATCTCTTCTACAAGAGCTCTCTTCTCTTTTACATACCTTTTTTATAGGTATGTCAACATTTTTGTAAGATGATAAAAGCTCTTTTTCTCCCGACAGCGCACTAAGCAGTATTTACTGAAGCAGCCTGACATTTACCTATATGCATATTTCAGTCCAAATCACAACTATTTTTGAGTCCACTATTTGTTCTTGAGTAAGGCCCAGTAGCAAGGAAGACGAAGAAAAAAAGATACAAGTATCACAACTTTTTTTAACCGATGTTATATTTTCCCACCATCTCATTTTTATAACTGACAGCATATTCCACACGGGTGATATATCACATAAGACCAAACAAACATTTCCAACATTTGGATCCTTTCTCTCTTGTTGCCTCCAAGTGGCATTTCTTACATCTGTAGTTGAACCTAACCAGCCTTCAGTATGACCAAGTCTACATTCTTTTCTTTCCCATATGATGAACAACATATGAAAATACACTCCACTCTTGCATATAGTTTCACTGGTCATCTACAGCAGTAAAAGTTCGCCTCAAAATTTCTGGCTCATCTCAAAATCTAAATTCCTTCTAGCTAAAATCTAGATTGATCTCTTATCTTATAATAATAAGAAAATTACTTCATATATTTAATGAACTGAACATCTTCATCACAACAATCACTAACAAACATCTGGTTCTGGCAGCCCTTGACCAAAGTGTGACTCAATTGAACAAAATATTGCCAGTTCACAATGACCGTTCATAATGAATTTGTCCACCTAGCAAATGTCTACTAACCCCAAGGAGACTAGCTGAATACAATCAGATTAACAGACTAACACGCTTCCCCTGCATTAAGTAGAATACAGAAAAGCTATACCTCAAAAATGAAAGATTGTGAATGGGCCCAGGCTAGGTTGGAAATATTTGGCCTGTTACTTCTGACACTGTAGTGTTAGAGCAAAGCTGTATTTCTATTACTTATCCATGTAAAAAATGCTTTGATATATCTTTCACCTTTCTCTGTATCATCAGAAGGTATACAAAGCCCCGAAGGTTGTCAATAAAGAGACCAAAGCCAACAGGGGAAAACTGACATAAAAGACAACAAGGCCTACAGCTCCTTGGACTCAAAAATAGACAAACACTGTAAACCAAGCCAAGAATATTATCAGAGGGAAGGAAAGAGATAGCAGGCTCAACATCAGAATGCAGCACAGATTTAAACCCCCAGGCAGTGTCCGAGAAAGCCAACGAAAAGCCGACACAATCACACCACTCTCCTCTAGGGCTACTGAAGTCAAGAAAGTCAAGAAGTGAAGGGAAAATCTCCTGGCCTCCTTCCCACTTTGACAGTGTCTCCTTTGTTCACCCATAACTTTTTGCATAATCTGATTTGAGCACGGTTCAATTTTCATTTATCTACACTCAACTTCTTTTCTATGCTCCGACCGATTTCAATCAATGTAGTATAGGTTTTCAATCTTAACAAGGGGCAATTTCACACCCGTAAAGCCTCGACAGTCAACAATCCATTGCATCTCCCTTGTCCCATCAACCTGCCTGGCAGGAACTTACACACCGCTTTTAATTTCACCTTTTTTTATTAGAAAACCTCACCTGGATGTTCCCCGTATGAAATTGGAAAAAAAAAAAACTCTCAGGCTGATTCCTACACTCTCATACACACACCTATTCATCGAGGGAAAAATAGTCAATGCATTATTCATAATCTCTCCCATGGGGTCGCAATATTCTGAGCGTATCAACACCGCGCCTTCTCCTATCACTTTCATCCCATTCTGATGTGCCAATTTTCTCAGCCTCACCACATTAGCAACCAGGCAGGAATCAGCCGCCAGACACTACAATAACTCTCTCTGCCCAGCAAACTCCGCTATAATGGTCATTAACATTCACAGGGGGAAGTGCATGCCGTACTGATCCTGATTTTTCCTCATCCAGGAGGAAACCCGCTTGATGTACTGCTGGAGTATACGTTTACTGAGTGAAGACCCCCCCCCCTCCTCACATACAGCAGGTAGATAGAAATAGGATTTCATCAGAATGAAAAACATGTTTTTCCCCTGTCCAGAGGAAATCAAATTGGTGTAAAAAAATTCTAGCAAAAATTTGCAGTTTTTGTCTCTCAAGGTTGTTTTTTTTTTATTTGACAAAAACCCCACTGCCCATCCCCTCCCGGCCTCCCCCCACAAAAAGTATTTGACAAGAGATAAACAGCCTGGATAAACCCATGGCTCACTGCTGCCGATTTTTAACTCATCACAAGAAAATTCAGGTTGGTAGGTTTCTGTAGTTTGAGTTAGCTGTGGGAAAATCCTGTGTTCCAGCGATCCCCTACTGTTCCAAAGCACACTGGCCTCATGTCTGAGCACTTGAATACACACCCGTAACCTAAGGGGCATGGCTTTCACTTACAAGACATGTGTCTTCCCTTGGTGAAAATGTTTACTGCGGTCACAAGTATAGCCCGGCTGAACCTTAACATATGTGCATTGGAAAATAACTTTCCTCGTTTCCAGTGAATATCTATGATTTTTAATAGTGAATAAGATTGATGTGGACCAGAATTTTTTAATCAACATTTATTAAAATAATCATTTTTAAATCTGGTTTTCAGACATTCACATCAGTAAGGTTTTAACAATGCTCTTCACTTTATTGACTAATGAAAAATATCTGATAAACAGTCAAAGGATGGCATAATTTTTTTTCAAAAGCTCCAATTTAGGCCTCAGGGTGGTGAGCTATTGATGATATGGTGCACACATCCATCACTGATATTATATCTCAACAAGAAGACTGTATAAGCTATCTCCACTGAAATTATTTCTGTGCAATATAGAACATTTCACAAAATATAAGGTAAGTTTGTTAACAACAAATAATCCAAGGAATATCTCCTATAGCATGCAGGGGTTTTTTTTTTCTGATTTAAAAAATAAATTCAAACAGACAATTTAGATATAAATTAAGGAAAAAATACAAAAGATAAAAGCTCCATTTAGGCATGTCTATTGCTCCAAGTATAGTTTCAATTGGGACAGCACCGTATGTGAAGATTATATTTGATTCTTTGTGTTTCCTGATGGTTTGAAGTATCAATGATGTCAGTTTTGAGGCGCTCTGGAGATGAACATGCCAATTTCAACACTCACTCCATACATTACTAACATATCCCATTAGTAAAATCAATAACACAAAGAGAAGTCAAACCAACAGTTTAAAGTAATCAGCAAATATCCATCATCTAAACTTCACTGACATGTCTTTTTACATAATACGTACAACTTGTCACAAACTCACTGAATATATTGAGTCAATAACCGAGCAAGCTCCAGCATTAACCTCCAAATGAAATTTCCTCTTTAAATTACAATTATATATTAATAGTAATCATTCATCCCTAATATTAAGCCCTGCTGATGAAAATGCCAGCATTCTGTTTTATAATTCAGTCTCTCAAAGCCTACTGCTTGAAGAGTAGACCTGCATATGCTGGTACTAGTAGGATAACATTCAGACAATTTACATGACTTTAAAAATACAAACATACTGATTTACTCTCAATCAATGGGCCACAGGGGGCAATGATCATATAAGGGGGGGGGGGAGGCACTATAGCCTTTGTCCTATTAATAAGTTGCTCTTTGCCAAGAACTTCTTGTTTAGTCTTGAAAGTTTTTGCAATGCAATGGACAATGTCAAGCTGAATGTTTGACCATTCTATACCCCAGTTAAGAGCTTCTCAGAATAGGTTTCCTGTCTGGTAGCTATCTAACACAGAACAGAAGAAATCCTAATGTTAAAACAGTGTCATGTTGATAAAACCTGCTTGTTACAATTACAGTATATGCAATAACAAATGCGAAACTCATGCCAAAAAATTCTTTGCATTGCTTCTGGCATCACATGGGTTGCTTTTTTTTAACCAAAAGCTAGAAATATTCTTTTTAACATGTGCCCGGAGAGTTACTTCAGTTAAAGTTCATCCAGTAACAATAGAAATATTTACAAGTGATGGCATTATTTTTAAGTCTCAGACAATGACCACAAAAGACTGAAGATCAGCAAGAATGATTCATATGAGATTTTCAAATAGAATGGCCCATATATTGTAAATATAATTTTTAGAGAGGTGCTTTAGTGAAACAAACTCAACAATTTACTAGTACATGCAAATATTACATTCACTGAATCAATGAACTTATTAGGAGCCATGTAACTTTTTCAATCTTCCTGTGCCTGAATTTTATGTCAAATAATGTATTAGCCAAAGGGCATTCAAACCATTTTAATATCAGATGGCAATGGAATATTTTTTCTTTTAAGGTAATGAAACAAAAAATAAAAAAAAGATATAAATATATGGCATTGCAGTGTTTCTGAACAGTTCTTGGTCATTAAGAAAGTATTCACCAAACCACAAGTCAAACTGCTGGTAGGGGCCCAGGTGTCTGCTAGTGACTAACTTTTAAGCCTCACTCCTTAAGAACAAACACACTTCCCTTGGCTGGGACTGGGTCAATGGACAATACTTTCATTTCTTGCTCCTCGTATGAGACTAGAAGCACACCTCTCACAAAGCTGCCTTTGTTACTGCCTTCTTTTCACTACAGAGTCTGTGACAGCTCTCTTTCACCAACACAACCTATTCCTCAATACAGACACAGTAGGACGTCTTCCAGTTATCTAAATACCCCTTCACTCCAGGCCCCAGCGTTCATGATTATGAATATATGTTATTGCAGTACTTCAGGGGTCAGTGTACGCGGGTGGGGGAGGGCAACTGCTATTGTCAATGAAACCTTTGATGTTTTTTGTTGCAGTAATCTGGGTAATGTATTCCACACAGTGAAATTTCACTGGGTATTAGACTAGGGTGAGAATGAACACTATATCTATGTGGCCAGCCGTCAAATCTTACTCCTCAAAGAAGCTAGGTGACCTACATCCACTTAGGTACGTCTTGATTCAACATGGCTACCCACGGCCCACACTTCATCCCTGCTACCCTCTCTCTCTCTCTCTCTCTCGCCGATTTTTACATCCACTCATATCAACATTCCAGAACGCCTAAGCTTTCTTCTCACTCCGCTAGGAGCCTGATTTGAGTTATATGCCCCAGGAATGCTCAGGTCCGGCTCAGCGTTGGGGCTTCACTTGGCGGGCCTCCACTGGATAAACAAATGAACTGCACGGCACTAACTTATGAACTTATCGGTACTCACCATGGATTATGTTGAAAACACTGGACAAGATGGAGATTAAACCAATCCACCTCATCCTAAGTAATCACGGGATGGTGAAATCCCTCTTTTTGCTCCTCTGGAGTCATCAATTCGTTTGGAAACAGACGAAAATCAACACAAAGTTTCTACAACTTTCTCACTGCAATCTCTTGAGACTTCTCTGACCCGGGCACTACTTGCGGCCAACCTCGACCTGGAATCTGGATCCTTCCGCCAGAACAACAAAGTAACTTTCACTGCTCAAACCGATTAAAAGCTGTTTTTTCATTGTACATTTGGAATTTTTCGACGTTTATAACACCCAGTATATGTCTTTATGTTCTTATTCGAAAAACTGGTTGCTCATAACCAACCTATAACATCCCTTATCGTTCTGAGATCTTAGATTTAGATTGTAATGCCCAGGCACAACGCGCACCTGCAGAACAAAGTGTGTTCATCAAATGCCATTGATGCTGTGCTGTGATTACGATGACAGATGATTGGCATTTTGACACACGGATTCCAGACAGTTTTATCGCACTTTCACATTACACCCCGAATTAATAGGAAGAAGAATAGTGTTTGCCTTATATTAGTTCGACGTTCTTGTGTGATGAAATATCCACGTTTATGTCCTTTATTGTCAACTCTCTCTAACGAGATTTTAAAAAATCTTAATCAATGTGAAATATTAATTGCCTTTAATTGGTGATTTGCATAAAAATGCGTAAATCAACTGCATTTTTTTCAAAGAATGTTGTTTGTGTATTATGCATTATAAAAGCTTTTATGTAAGCATTAAAAAAATAAACTGGATAATCGAATTAGTATTACCGAAAGTAATTATTTGTACAGGTGTACTTAATTTGTAAAAAGACACATGAGAAGCGTTTTATGTCTATATCAAGTTTTAATACATTTTGTGAAATGAAAAGGAAAAAAAATTAAGGTGTTCCAAATACATAGGACGAACATACTTATTAAAGATCAGGAGGAGTCACATTTATCACCCACTCACCCCACCCCCACCCAGGGGCGGATTTAGAGAGGGGTCCTGACCCCCCCCCCCTTCGATATCCGAAAAAAAAATCACACCAATGGTCCCCTCTTCAAATTATAATTTTGATGAGCTGAATCATAGTTCTAAACCGTACCAAATGGCACAATTTACCCTCTTCAATCCATTTTTTTTTCGAGGTCCTTAAATGGTCCCCTAACCCAAAGCCAGCTTCGCATCCGCGCCCCTCCCCCTTCAAATAATCCTGGATCCGTCCCTGCCACCCCACCCCAACTACTCCCAAAAAAGCGAGAAAAAAGATTCCGTTGTCCTGAAAATCATGCGTCATATATTTTAACTATTATCCAGTGGATGGTATGAAAAAAGAATACTTAACTCATGTGCCCCCACCCACCCCCTACCGGGTAAACCTTGATACTATTGCACTAGACTTTCCAGGTAATGCTTCTTGGAGAAAGTAGGCTAGATAAGATAGCTTGGAAGGGTTCGAAACGAGGGCTTTTAAAAACATTATCCCCCCTCTTTAGCTCCTCAAGCAGATTTGAAGATGTTATTTTTTTTCTGTTTTTGATATTTTTTTCTGCGAGAACATAGTGAATAACAAATGCCTTTGGAAACTTTTATCCTGTCAAAGATGCACAATTATAATATATCATCTCTTTGCAACACTATACAAGAAAACACCACTATAATGCTTTGAACGAATTACCGCAGTTTCAAAAAATATGTTGCTTTTAAAAAAACCCTGTAATTGCTGCGAAATCCGGGCGATAGTCATAAAAACTTTTTCTGCACAAACGCATGCAGTTGTTAATATAAAATGTGCTAGGTGAGACGATTGTGAAGGATGAGCACACCTATCACATTTCTGCTCTTTTTATCTTAAGTTTTTACTGAATTTTTTGGTTCTTTTTAAATTTGGTTGTATTGAGACGTGATAATATTAATATTAACATACAGCCATTCTTAAGAAAGATGTATTAGTACAAGAAACTGAGTGCTGTAGTTTTACTTGATTTTATTGGCAATTGTTGGCCCGCTACCGGGCGTAGAAGCACTCGAATCAACAGCAGTGTCAACAAAAGATGGCGGCCTACACAAACTATTGAACTTGGATACCAGATAAATGGAGTGTCAGGAGCGTTCAAGTTGATTAAAGTGACGGTCCTAACTTAGGACTACGAGAGGAAGATCAGAATGACTATGATTCATTTGAAATATCCGCACAGACGCGGATTTTTCACTTGGGAAGAAATGGGGTAAGTTGCCAAGCAAGTAAGTTTGCCAGTAAGTCAAGTGTTTGCCAAGTATTGATCTTAGGATTCAGATTGAATCAATCAGTGCAACAGCGACAATCAGAAATCGATATTAAAGTTTTATGCGGTCTTGTCCACACTTGTAAATACTTTACTTCCTATTTTATTTGAAATATTTTGATGTTTAGATTTAGATGTAGAAACTTAGGTTAATTTACAATGTTGGAAAGTACAGTAAGGGAACCCTACCTTTGGCTTTGATCATGTTAGTATCGTGGAAATGTCTGCTCCTCTAAAGGTACATGTAGTGGAATAAAATGTTACCATCTTCAGAAGCTTCCTTTTCTACTCTCTGGTGAAAGTATTTCAAAATAAACATTCATAACAATATCTGCAAAGTCAAATACCAGACAGTTAGCGATGCATGAGTAAATGGATGCTGCAGTTTGACCATTGATTTTACAGTAAAATATTTTGTTGACATTCCCCATTTTTTTCTGACATGTAGGATAAAATTGTGAATTTCAGAACTTATGGTTTTACTGACAATGTTTATGTCAAAATATGATCATACATTTTATTGATTTTTTAAAAATCGATATTGATTTTTTAATTTTCAGGTGTCTTGCCAGGTCTTTGGGGGTAAGTACGCTGCACAGATCATCAATATTTTCTATTCTTGAATACATCTAAAGATAGTATTAGAAACTGTATGATATACTTACAGCCTTGAGAAATCTTTTACTTTGTTAATAGACTCATAAACATGTAACTTTACTTCTGTTCTCAACATGTCTGTCACTGATAAGTATTAAATATTTAATTACAAATTTATTTGCAGACATATCTGCTCTTATGATCTTAATCATACCTTATTCACTGTAACCTTTCATTTATATTCAGACCTGAATTCCCTTGGCTGCCATTTGATTAACCATGCTTTGTATGAGCTATAGATTTCTGTAGTCAGTCCTCAAGGATGCTGCTGCAGTATCAAATATTTGTACATCATTTCCTGTCTATAGAAATGGAGTCAGAGTTTGCACTTGAACAAAAATCACTTGAAATAAAGAATGCCCAAACTGATTGAAAAATGACTTTAGATAAATATCTGAGTGACGTGGGAATATCAGTCTTGCTTCTGTTGAATGTTTAGAGAAAGGATTTGTAGTGTGGATTTATGTTTTCATTAGTTGGGGATGTTAGAAACTCTGCTGCTATCTCTTGTAGTTTAAATTTTAAAAAATGGAATAAAATACAGGGGCGGATCCAGAGTTATTTTCTGACAGTCTTCCAAATTATCTTTGTTGATCCATCCTCCTTTTTCTGACCGTCTTCCGACAGAAATAATTAGATACCCGTCAATGTAAACTTGAAAATCTGACCGTCTTCCGGAAGACCCAGAAGACCCCCTAAATCCGCCCCTGAAATATAGAAAAAATTAGCTAAAATAATAAAAAAACAATTTTTTTTGGATGATTTATTTTTGGTTCTGTAGGACTAACACACTGTATGAGATGGCTGGTTGTATACTTAAAAATATCAATTTTGTCTTTTACTTGCTATAAAAAATATATATTTTGATGTTACATATACTTATCATCACAAAGGAAAGCCCTGGAAAGGACATACATATAACTTTATTTAGTAACTTTTTTTATATCAGCACAAAAATGAACTATTCTATATATTTATGTTTATTATTTTGTTCAAAGAATTCACTAATTACTTTTTCATTATCTTCCAGTTTCCAGACAATGTTTTCCGTAGTAATATTCCGGAAAATGAGGCAGTTAAGGATCTTGAAGGACTTACCATCCCGGTTAGTGAAACTTTTATGTATTATGATTTAGTAGATATATTCATTATTATATTTACTGTACTAGTATTGAATTCATGTATATATATATATACTACTCTTCATAAATTAGTGAGCCAGCAAATGCCAAGTCATATATACACATTTACTGCTCAATATGCATTATTATTATTATTATTATTATTATAAGTTAAGACAATACCATAAGGACCTGTGCACAGTTATTTTGCTTTACTTTGCAGTTAATTTGAACTTAACGTTTAGATGTTTCCACATGTAAAATATTTGTGCAATAATTGTTGTGATGACCTGAAAAGCACTCTGCCAGAAAACTCATTGTTATTAATTATTTATTAATTAACTAATTAATTAGCTAAATTCTCATTATTCATGAATAAACTATATTTTTGGAGCAGTTATAAGTGAAAATAATCAAACTGTCCCTATCTTGCGATGGTGAGAAATTCCTAGATTCAGATGGTGATCCAGTCAAAATCTAAACACTTCTGAGTTGGACGTTCCTAAAAATGTCATCAAAAACCAACTTTTTGAGTAATAGTGTTGACAATCAGACAAAACAAGGTGGTTACATATTTTCCTTGGCAGAGGTGATAATTTTGATGAAAGTGCAAGGCACTAGCTTATATCCATTTACAGAAAAAATATGTTTACATTGATACTGATCAATATCTTTATCTCAGTTATTTTCATATTATGCTTAGTCTTCTCAGTTACATTATAGGATTTTTGTTCCCCCGGTCCTCATAAAATATATGCTATAGCTGTAGTCATGGACATTCTTGTAAATAAATAGATTGCTTTTTATTTAGTAGTAAATAATATACCAAGAGTCCCAGCTGCCAGTGTTATATTAACTGTGCCAGCCTTAATATAAACCCTAGTCTTTTTACCACTGGATTATGATTATTATTGTTCCCGTTTTGAATGAAATTCAAATGTGGAGCAGCGAGCTACATTCAGTTTGCTGGGAGACGCTTGATTAGAAAATAAACAAAGTTATAATTTATTGCTCATTTCTTTTCTTGCCAAGTAAACACGGGATTTATTCTCTGTATATTGGCAGCACCTGTAGGCATGTGTCACAGTTACAATTTAATTTCATTCATTAAAACCTGCCCTTTTGTGAGCTGCTTCTTTATCGGGTTGTAAAGTAAATGTTATTACAACAGGTGCCTCAATAGAATATATGTGAAGGTTCAACACCCCTGTTTAGTTACCTTTACATTTTTAGAATAGAAAAATGCAATAAATGTTGACTAGTAATTTAAAACATTTATGTTCAACATTTTTTTTGCTAAATGTTGTTGCTTTTTTAAGCAGTTGCAAAAGTATTGGTGTTAATTCTGGTGGAAAATTTCACTGAAGAGCAAGATTTCACTGACAAATATGTATTCAAAAGAGTATATAACTTCCCCAGACTGGGTGTAGTTTTTTAAACACAACCACTTTGACTGACAGAAAGTAAATAAAAAACTGTACTTAAAACCAGACAGCTGTTACACCAGTTGATTTTACTCCTGGTTTATCCGTAAAAAGCCTTTGTATTATTTATGCTTGATAGTTTTGTGGATACTGTATTTTGAGTCAGAAAATTACTTTCCTGAAGGAAAAAGATATATAGCCATATACTGTTTTATTGAACTTCTTCAATTTTCCTATGCAAAATATATCATTACTATAAGGGTAATTTTGCATTTGTATGATGCACTAGTAATAGTTTCAAATGTATTCTAGATGTTGTTGATGGGTTGCCATTCTATACCCAGGTATAGAACCCCAGGGACAGCCCCATCCCCAGGGATAACCCCACCTCCAAGGACAGCCTCATCCCCAGGGACAGCCCCACCCCCAGGTTTAGCCTACCTGTAGAGAACCCAGGGTCCTACTACTGTTGTTCCTCAACATAAAACATGATCATTATTTTTGCAAGTTAGATTCTCCAATAATAAGCTCTTTGTAAAAAATTAATTTCCAACTGCTCCAGGAGTACCAGGTATCTACTAGTATGTCACTGCCTGGGTCTTCACCGTTGATAATAAATGTCATAATTATTACAACATATGCCTTCATGCATGGCTATTTAAATGTATTGATGAAAAAATTCTTTATGTGAAGAAATAGAACCCCCATGTGCACTAAAATTCCATGGAGCCCCCAAATCTTCCTGTCGATCAGTTTCAAGTTCCTAATGGTTTAGGAAGAGGTAGCAGAAATAACAAATGAACCAGTGGATGGATACAAAGATGCATGGGAGGACAGGAAAAGATTATTCCAAAACCTTTGTCACAAATGTGTGAGGTTAAAAAGTGTACATATTTATAAATGGCACCATTTTGACTTTGTCATCTTGATTTCAGGAATTCCACAGAATGATAGACTACAAATACTTTGTGAAAGCATTGCACAGGACCTTCAACATGCACACAGCTGACTGGAACCAGTGTGTAGTAAAGAGAGCTGTGAGATTGTTAGACTATCATGCTCTCAGGTATGTACACCCCTCTCAGCCTTCCCCCTGTCGCACACATGCATCCACGCACGCACACACACACACACACAAGCCAGCAGAATGATGATGTCAATTCTGTACTAAAATTCTCTTTGGACGCTTGAATCCATCATGTATGCTGGACAGAACAGTAGTGTGCACAGCATTAGCCAAAAAAAAAAAAAAACTCTGGAAGTCTAGTGAAATACTCAGTGTAACCCTGGTAAAGGGCAGGATATAGAAATGTTTGACATTCAGGAGTAACCTGGTGATACAGACTGATGCTGTTTACACTGCAAAGAATGCCACTGATTAGAGATTTTTGTCAAGATAATTATATAGACATTTATTTTTTATATATTCGATAATGATTTGAACCTGGTATAACAGCAATTTTTCATGTTTACGATATATTATACCTGGAGTTAGTTATGGTAGTTTTCTCACACAGCCCTGACTTATGTCTTTGTCATTGAGCTCTCAATTATTTTGATTTACTTCATTTTAATCCTCTTAAACTAAATTGAAAGTTCTGATAAAATGAACTGATTTATGAAGTAGATTATTTTCATACCAGATATATAAATTATACAATGTAGTTACTAGTACTTTTGTTAGATTTCTCACACAGGCCTGACTTGGGTATTAATCATTGATCTCTAAATTAATTTGATTTAATTCACCTTAATCCTCTTAAACTAAATTAAAAGTTCTGATAAAATAAACTGATTTATGAAGTAGAATAGATTCAGTGAACAGACCTCTAAAGAAATCCTGCAGAGTGATGCCCCCATATATAAAGAATAATGACGATGTTATAAATGAAAATTATCAAACACAAACCGAAATACTTTCATACCACTAGCTTACGGCCAACTGATGAATAGGGAGGGGGGGGGGGGTGATCTACCTGACATTCGTAAGAGGGTCCTGGTCCCTATACCACCTAGCAGTAACTGGGTGTCAACATCTACTCATATCAGTCTGATGAAGGCCTTCGTCCAGGTTGACCGTAAGCTAACGGTATGAAAGTTTTTCGGCTTGTGTTTGATAATTTCATATATGATCCAACTACCAAGCTAATGAACAGTTTTGCTCAATGACGATGTTATTTTGTTCAGCTTTGAAGAGCTGCAGGATGTAAGGATAGCCTACCAGGTATACGAAGCAGGAGACATGAAGGGAATACTGGTAGATGAACACATTGTGCTCAGGGCATTGAAGGTAAGCTATGAACATGGAAGAATAATTAGAATAATTACTTAATGGTTCTTAAGGAAGTCAATGGATTGTAGTTGTCACTTGTTGAGGAGTGAGGTTTTATATCCTAAGCTACAGTTTATGATATAAAGTCCTTTGTTTTGATATTACAGATATAGATTTGACATTGTACATATACATGTGTATGTGGCCAATTGTTGTGCTTTATCCCGTGCATGCACACACACACATGCACGCAGATGCACACATGCGCACACACACACACATACACAATAGCTTCATTGTGAATTCACCCTAAGACCCTAGTATCTTGAGGGACTGGTAGGCAGAGAGGTTTATCACACTGACTGCCACAGTGGAAGTATATAAACTAAGCACCACTCATGGCTGGCTGTACAGTTTGTGTATACAGTCATGTGGACAAAGAAACCATTTATAACTTTTCTCCTGAAAAAACACTTGAAAATTCATAGCTGTAAAGCCGTCTTGGATACGTGTTTGAAGTGCTACAATATGACCACTGTTCTTGTTGTCATAGAGGGATAAAAAGGCATTGTAAGACAGGAGTGGCTGAGGGAGGGTATTTGGTAATATACTGTATATGACAGGTGACCCTGGTAATCCTCCATTACCACTAATGTAGCTCTGTATAAAGCTACCTTTATTATCATTATTATTATTATTATTATTGAACTTTATTTATTGGTGGTAAAAAATGGTAAGTATATAATTTTTATCCTCCACATGGCCCTCTTTATAACAGATTAGACAGAATTACTAACATTTACAGAAAAAAGCAAAAAGAAAAAGAAAAAAACAGAAAAATAATTCAAGCAAAAAAAATTTTTTGCTATGAACTCTTCCACCTTTATAATATTATATGCAGGAATATTTACAATTTCAAGAAAAAAGTGGGAAAAAAGTAAAAGCAGGAAATATATGTTTGGTTATGAACTATTTATTCATTTTGATTGGGGATGTGTTATTTTCTAGATGTGTGGTCGTGTAATAGCCCCACTGAAGATGATGCAGAGGTTAAAACACATGAGTCAGAACTTTGACGAAAATGGAAGGATGCAACTCTACGAGTTTCTAGACCTCATTTTGTGGTAAGTGGATTACACTGCATTTCTATTTATTATTGATCTCCTCTTCATCATGTAAAAACATATATTTATTGGTTTTCTTGTTAATATTTTGTTCCAAGATGTGTGCTGTATATTTTTTTGTTTTTTCAGTAGGCTCTGCCTACAAGTACATTTTACCGTGTATTATTGTGTATTTGCGAAAATTCATTTAAGATGGTTTGTCCATCCTAATGCTTAAAACTCAAACCAAACAATTTTTAACAAATCACTGACACTTGAAAAATTATTTTCATTTTTCTTTATGTAATTTGTTATTCATTGTCAGGTGTGACTTGTATAAAGATGTCCAAGTAGAGAGACCAAGCAAAGTAGAAGCTACTGGTAAAACTAAATATGGACTTTATAAGGTATTGATCTATTTTCCATACATAAACAACTATTTTATTTTCACTCACTGTTGTGTCTGTATATTTAGCAATAATCAGAGAACGGCAAGCTGTGCACATTTCTTACTGTCTCAATGATCCAAAACTTTTTGTATTTTAAATTCTTGCAAAAGGTCCCTACAGGGCTGCTAAAGTCTAGATCAAAAAGGGGTCTGCTCAGGTTAATTGTTTAGCACTTATAATAATATTTAATTTTCAGAATTTATTGTGGCCTTTTCAGTGTGACATCATTTGAGTGAAGAGAAAGGCACTGTATTGTGGATTTTTAAAGTCACACTGTTCAATTAACAAAATAGATGGACAGAAATGATCATTTTTAACAAAGTTATTAATAGTATAGATAAATCAATTAAACAAATCTGCCACCAGAAAAATGAAATATTGTAGGAGAAGAACAAAAAGTATAGATCTTGCCCTAAGGGCTACAAATATCCCAGAAAACTAGAATCTGATCAAACACTTTATTCATCACAAAAAAGCATCACAAGTCAGGTAGATGAAATGCATTAGTATGGATGTAAGTGTCAAAGTAAGTTTCCAGTTCTTTAGAATACCAATCACAGCACTATCCAGTTAGTAACAAAATCCAGAAAGCAAACATTGACATTATTGATTAAGGGCATTGCCTGTCCCTGCAAGTGATAGTGAAAACAAAGCTCTGCAAACAGAACTGGAGCTAGTAGATCTTCAGGTAACAAGCAGCGGCTTGCTCCATCAGGCGAGTTGTACTTACAGACAAGTGCTGTTTAGTATTAGTTTTATATCATCTAAAGTGTCGCCCACTAGTTGAAGCAGGTTTGGGTGTACAGTAGATGTATCAGCTTGCTGAGGGTGTAGGGCTTTAGGTTTCTATTAAGTAAGAATTTTAGTATTAATATCATCATTATTTTGTCTCTATGTTAACTTATTGATATAACTCTTTTTCATCTGATCATGTTTTGTATATAATTTTGAAAAATTAGAGAAGCATTTTGGAAGACTTGCTTATATATATCATTGTTTGCATTTTCAATTTGATATAAAGGAACATTGTACTAGTAGTAGTACTTGTTTTAAAAAATGTCTGTATAACACAAGAATTGAAGAAATAAGATGTACCAAGCTGTGAACATTTCTCTCCTTCAGTTGGATGATTTTGAAGACTTGCTGCACCACCAGGATGAAGTCATAGCAACACATCTTAACCAGAATTACTTGAATGAGGAATGGGATTTTGGAAAAGAAATCATCAAGTCGTTAAAACAAAGCCGAGAGCCCCCTGTGAAAGCCACGGATAAACGCAAGCAAATGGTAAGGTTTTTGTTTGGGAAGTAGCACAGTTGTATAAAATGGAAAAAGAAGGAGTAAAATTTCAGTTGTGACATCTTTTTTCAGATAAAAGATAATAAAGGGTGGATATCCCAAATATGTATCGATAATATATAAGCTAAGATGACTTTTCATATCTTTTACTTTTTAAGATAGACCACCCAATATGACACTAGAAAGACAACTCTTTGTAGCTTGTATTCTGGAGATATCTTTTCTCAATTTAAAAGGTAAAATTCCACAAAGGCAAATACCAGCACCTGAAGTCAGAAGTAGTGAACGCTCAGAAGCGTGTGTATCATGCCAAGGCAGGGTACGTGCGACCACGCCCTATCTCTGCCCCTGACTTGGAGATGTATGACCGCATTGACCCCACCATGGTAGCGCCCAGTAATGACATCAGACCACAGACTGTCTACGAAACCCTGGAACAGATGAAGAAGGCCAGAGCTAAGAAAACTGAAAGTAAGGAAATTAAAATATAGAACAGAGATTAAGGAAATTAAGATTTTAAACAGTTATTTAAAATGTAGGTTAGGAAATAAAGATTTTAAACAGAAAATGATCTGAGTTATTTAACAGTTCTGGTAGAAAGTTAAGTTGAGTAAGTGTGTTTGTAACAAATTTGCATATCATATTTATAATAAAAGATGCATGATTTTTCAATATTATTTGTTTCCTGTGAATAAAAGAAATGAAACATACTTATCAGATTTTCATTGTTTGTGTCAACTTGAGCTTGAACAGATTCCAAATTGGTCACAAATAGTATGTGATATAAATCTCTGGTTATCATTGATGTAGAATAAAGAAATTGTGTTTGATTTGTAGCTGACAGTGCTGAAAGGCATCCTTTGAAAGTAGACACCTACGTGAGGCCTCATCCCTCCATGACTGTGACAGATAAAGACATCAAAGACACCGAGAATCTCATTCAGAGTCTACAGTTTGAAATGGAGACTCTGGTGCGGAACTTAGCTATTTGTTAATTCTTAGAATGTTTAGAATAAATTTATAAGACTTTGATTTGTCTAAACTTTATATATTTATGAAAAAGTAAATGAGTAAACAGTTCCATTTTAACATTTACTGATTTTAAATCTGAAATATTTTCAAAGGTGCATTGACACACATGGCAATATCCCATATGTCATTTCAGGAGAATCGTTATCAACATTTAGTGGACACAGATCTGGACTACCTTATGCCAGGCTACAGAGAGAGGCTGGAAGAAAAACAAAAACCAGGTAACAACTGTCTCTTACACTCAGCTTTGTATCTGCATTATTTTTTTTATTTTTTTTTTTTCCACATTAAAAAGCATTCCCACTGCATTTGGTTATGAAATGGACTTGTGACAAGAAATGTAAAACTGAGTTCAGTAAGACACTACAACGGCCTTGTCTCAGTGATAACAAACCAAAAAGTGAAGTCAATATAATCGAAATAAATCCTGATACGTTACTTAGTTATTATAATTGATTAACAATTTATCCACTTTTTCAGAACCACCTCCTCCACCCACCAAAAAACCAAAGGTGAAGAAAAAGAAGCCACCGTCAGAACAGTTCCTTCGCAAGATGGCGTACACAGATGTGGGCATCCTCCCGTCTCATGCCAGGGCCTGTGATGCCAGGTATGGAGTATATCTACATATTGTATTGTTAATAAGATGGCATATACAGATGTGGGCATCCTCCCGTCTCATGCCAGGGCCTGTGATGCCAGGTATGGAGTATGCCAGAAATGCCCGCATGGTGCCAGGCCCCCATTTCACAGACCTGACCAAATATTGTCTGAAAAAGACTGAACATTTTATACTAAGATGTAAATTTTATCTTTGGCATCTGTGAAATCATGAAAATTTAATCTTCCCCTAGATGTGTCATTTGACAAAGTATGAAACATAATTCAGCACTAAGACGTCTAATTTTGATGATATACTATTGAAGACAATACACCACAGGTAAAAAAATTACATGTCACTTCAGTTCTTACATGTCAGTTCTTTTGATGTAACATGGGTGAAAGTGTTCAGGATTATGCCTGATTTCAAGATTTCAAGTCTTCATTTTAATCATTTTTTTCATATGGTCTTAATGTGATGAGAAATTGCAAGCTATGTTTTCAGGATATTTAGTTTTTACAACTTTCACCCATGGAACTACAGTGCTAGCTCTTCCCATTTCTTGATAGCAAATATTTTATTACTTTCAGATTTAGAGGTTGGCAGAAGGTGAGGACCCAACCAGGCACCCACTACATCTTGTCAAATATTTTATTACTTCCAGATTTAGAGGTTGGCACAAGATGAGGACCCAGCCAGGCACCCACTACATCTTAAGCCCCTATTTCACACAGACCACAAATCTCACGAATGGCCATGAATTGTCAAATTTCATGATTCGTGGTTGAATCGTAATCAGTTCGTGAAGTTCTTAACAGATTCGTATCTATTCGTAGTCAGTTCTTGCACTTCTTGACCAACAGGAATTGATGGCAAAAACTTTGATGCCCCTATTTCACCCAGACCACGAATCCCACGAATCGCCAGGAATTGAACATTTCTGGATTCGTGGTTGAATCGTAATCAGTTCGTGAAGTTCTTAGCAGATTCGTATATAATCGTAGTCAGTTATTGCAATTCTTGATCAATCGGGAATTCATGGCAAAAATTTTGAGCTGTTCAAAGTTTAGGCCATAACTCCCGATTCCAAAAAATCGTAGTGAATTTCTGGACAATATTCGTGCGATTCCAACCGAATCCCACGAATATTCGTAACACTATCGCACCTGTATCGTAACTGAATCGTAGAGCGTGTTGAATTAGACCAGAAAATTGGCAAAATCTCACGATTCCAGCCGAATCCCACGAATATTCGTAACACTATTGTACCTGTATCGTAACTGAATCGTGAGCGTGTCGAATTAGATCAGAAAATTGGCAAAATCTCACGAATATTCACGAATCCTGAAATTTGTCAATTCCTGGCGATATGTGGGATTCGTGGTCTGTGTGAAATAGGGGCCTTATCAAGTATTTTATTACTTTCAGATTCAGAGGTTGGAAGAAGGTGAGGACCCAACCAGGCACCCACTACATCTTATCAAATATTTTATTACTTCCAGATTTAGAGGTTGGCACAAGGTGAGGACCCAAGCAGGCACCCACTACATCTTGTCAAGTCCGTCCTATGAGAAATCCCCGCGAGGACTGCTCCACAGGAAACTCCATGAAAGTGCAATGAGGGAAATACGCCACATCAGAGGAGAAGCTGTGTATCGCCATTCAAAACGATCTGAAGTGAAGCCTGAAATTACCCGTGAGAAGACCATGCTCGGATCACAGAAGTTTCAATCTGAGGACTCGGACTCGGAGATTTCGCCCACTGACCAGCATGCTCAGGTCAGCTCTGGTCAGACCACGTCTGGAGAGAGTGGCTACCGGACCAAGTCACCCAGTGTAGTGGACACTGCCTCCGAGTCCTCGGTCAGTTTCAGTGACTTCAACATGTATGGAGAGGTCTTGGATGACAGGAAGAAGACCGAGGAAGAAGCTGGGGAGATGGGGGACATAGCAGAGAGAGGCCTCGTATCTCACACAGATGTGGACAGAGTAGATACTGGTGTACACAAACTCAGGGAAAAAGTTGATGGTACAGGAAGTACTGATAGGGAAAAACTGCTCATTGTGAAACTGGACAGAGACAAATTAATTCACAAGGCAGAGAGGGAAAAATCTCAGCATAAGAAAGAATATGAACAGTTTGAAAGACAAGAAAGATCCTCCCCAGTAAAAACAGACAAGGAAAGACCAGTCCATCAACCACCTGCCAAACCCAGGGCCGAGTTGCCTGTTGGAGAATTTGTATATGGAAAACCAAAAATTATCGAAATGAGCAAAATGGGAAAGGTATCAGTTCTAGAAAATATATTAGAAGTCGATGATGATTTTACGACTGTAGAAACTAAATCACATGCTACATCAAGAGATACAGAGATGGAGAGTTCAGCACACCCAGTTTCTTACCCTAGACCAGTGAAGAGTTCTAGTACTGATGAGAGGAAATCTAAAGAAACCCACGTAGCATTCAGCCAGACCAGCCCCAGTCATAGGGGAGAGTCAGTCAGTCAAGCCACATGGAGAGACTTTCACTCACAAACTACCATTAGAGAACTTCAGAGTGGGAAAGCATCCAGAGATAGCGGGCTGCCTTCATCTCTGTCTTATGACAGCTATCACAGACCTTCTACTGTAGCTCAAGGTAGTGGCCGCCAGCAAAGTGGAATGACCAGGGAATTGCTTTCATCCTTTTCCACTGACAGGCCTTCTACGGTGTCTCAAAAAACCAGGCAGCCAAGTGGACCTACCAGTAGAGAAAGAACTAGTGGAATGGAAGTGACAAAAAGTGTGGACAGTGGGCGAAGCACAACCATGACAAACCATAAGTCAGTGAGCAAGAGCCATGACAGACACAGCGTGGCGTCCAGTCACGTCAGCTCAAAGGTCACATCGAGATTGCTCAGACGTGCAGAAGGGATGGTCTCTGCTGAGTTGAGAACTAGGCTGCTCAAAAGTGCCAGTGATAGGAGCTCCCAGGAGTAATGTAGTTTGTATTTATAATTATTATTATATTCCAGTCAACACCTGTATTAAGCTCAGATGATTGGTTTATATTAGGAGAGTGGGGTATGCCATTATACTCACTAATTACATCACTTATAAGGCACATCTAGTCCAATGCACACAAAAAGAAAAACTGTTGATATTATTTTTAAAATTTATTTCTGTGATAACAGTTACAATTGATGGTAAAATCACCATTTCATTATTATCTTTTTTTTTTTTCAGTTTATTTTTGTGCTCGTAAGTGTAACTTTAAAGTTTGTCTGATATTATTAGCAGTAAAATGAGTATATCTGTTGTTGATCTGCTGTCCAGTGAACAAAGGGAATAGATCATCAAATATAAGCAAAATGCTCATAGACTGGGTTCCCATACCTAGATCGATCTAACAGGATCGGTCCATCTCCATGGGGTTTCTCGCTAAATTGCTTTCAGCTTTAGTGGCTAAGAAGTCTGGCACGCCCACTGAAGTTGCTAAACGATAGTTATTACCCCCTTACAGCTTCAGTAGGTGTGACAGGCATCTAAGCTGGTTAAGTTAATTGCAATTAAGCAAGAAACCCCTTGGAGATAGTTCGATCCATAGTTAGTACGATAGGGTTTTGGAATGGTCTCATAGAGAAGAAGCTCAGACAGCATGACAATACTCCTCATGCTGAAGTACTTTGTTAACTTCAACCACTGTAAATTCCAACACATGCTACCTGTAAAAGGGTAACTGTTTGTGTCTTAATTAATCTTTTAAAAGTACTTGGATGAATTCAGATAAGTCACATTTTGTCTTGTGTATGCAGATATGTGGTTTAACCTATTTTACTGTACAAGGTATCAGTAATGTCACTGATCTTGCAGATGTTAGGAACAGTAGATTGCTATGACAAATTGAGCAATTACAAATGACAGAATGCCGCAATGATACTTCTGGGTTTTATTTTATTGTTGTAATGTTATCCTAACACACTGGTTTTACCAAACTCTATGCAATTTACCATGGTTATAGTTATAAACATGGAGCATTTGTATGTTATGGTGCATGAACTTCACAGGAATGTACAAGTAGTGTAATAAACCAAATGTAATATGATGTGATCCATTCAACTGTGGATAATGTCATACATGTACATTGTAACATAGGGAAAATGTTTAGAACCAAATATTCATGTGCATAAGTGTGGTAGTTCATGAATTTTATTTATTAGCTTTATTTTGTTATTTGAAATTTGCCCACTCAAGTTTGCTCAATATTATTTATTAAAACTCGCTAATTAGAGGCAGAATTTGCAAATTGTCATATCCTTAAAAGATATGTCTGGTAAAATGTTTAAGTTTTACAGTCTCTGGGTAAGGGTGTCTTCATGTTTCAGTTGTATACTGATTAACTTTATCATTTATTATTCCAACATGGCTATGTTGTCATATGATAACATGATTGACATAATATTTCAGTGGGATGAGTATTCATGTTCAGTCAAGGAATATTTTTAGCTTAAAGATGCATACAAAGTCAATTTTTTGTCACAAAAACCAACCAAATGCCAGCATATAGTTTCAAGTAGTATAACTAAGAGAATTACAAAAAGGCCTTGTTTAATTTTACCCGAAAATGATGTTTGAACAAATTTTTCTGCTGGCATTCTAAGCTGTATGTCAATGGGGCAGGAAAGTAGGTCACGGAAGTAGGTTAAATCTACAACCATAAATTTAAAGAAAGGAGCAGTCTAAAGGTCTTTTATGGCTGATCGGGTGATCTATTCAGTTTATCCCTTGGCATGTCAAATTTATTTGAGTCATATAAGAATCTAGTAGAAGTGGTTTACATGTGTTACTGGGAATCCACGCTCCACCGATGCTCGGTTTGTATGTACCTTTAAGTGTTGACAAATGTTAATGTTTTCAAAAAGAATAGGAAGCTTATTATTTGTATTGTGTAGAACAGTTTTTATTCTTTTGTCACTTTCCCTCCATGTTCCCAGAGGTAATGTTATTGTATTCTTTCAAATTCAGTGTCTTCATATTCAATTGAATGTTTTGCAGATGCCTATTTCTAAACATAATTACATGGCATATTAAAGCCACGCAGTAGTCATTTATTCCTAAAATGGCTTCAGTTTGATTTGGTAAACTTACTTCCTATATCTTTAAGCTACCATACAACATTTTTAGCCATCAGCTGTGCATGTTAGCACAAGTCTAACTACAGTAATAGCATTGTTTATGCCTAAAATTATGCACAATAATAGACCACAGTATGCTCATTAAGAACAGACCATTGCCCATATATCTCAAATTCATTGTTTAAAGGATTGCAGTTATGGTCATTACTTGTGTTGGGTGATATTTACATAAAGTTAACTGCTGGGTTCAGCATTCATTTCAACATTGTGTTGCCAGAGCATTATGTTAAGTAATTTTTTGTTTTCAGTAATATTATGTTAAGTGTCAGCTTAGTGATTATTTATGGAAAATGTCAGAAATTGCACAAAATACGTTATTAAGATTTGACACATAAAGAGGAAGTTGGGTCAGTGCTACAGAAATGGAAGAGAAGTTAGATAACAAAAGTAATTTTATCAGTTTTGATTTTTTTCTTTTAGACAGAAGTAGTTAACATTCTGTGTTTTTATTCAACTTACCAGTAATCTGTCTTTCAAGTTTCTAAGAGAATCTCAGTAGGTTTGTTTTATTTATTTTCATCTAACATATAGCGATATGACTATCTCTGTATAGTTTTTACATGTAAATATTTTTCATGTAAATATTTAATTTTTTTTATTGGAGATTCATTCTTTCATTCTACATTTGTACTTGTTATGAGAATCAGAGCCCTCATTCAGAACAGGGGACTAGCAAATCCACAGATTAAATATGGCTGTCCCACTTGAATGCTTGTTGCGTAATCCCTGTGGGGAATTTCTTCAGTGTCTAATCCTGAATTAAGCAGCAAGCTTTTAAGTAGGTCACCATATTTGATCTGCGGATCTGTAAGTCCACTGTTCTCAATGCACTCAGAGGGTTTCTATGTCAATTGTGTTAGGTGTTCTAGTAACTGAACACATTGTGCTGTCCAACCCATGACTTGTTAACACTGCTCAAAACTGTTACACTTCATGTGATAATATGTTCTTGTTGATGAAATTCATTTGTAGATATTGAAATTTGTTTGTTTGACTTTAATCATGTTTAAGTCTTTCAGGTCTACATTCCAGAATTGTTGTGTTTAATGTTTGGTATTTTACTTTTCAAACAAGTGAATAAAAATATTTGCTTCAATAAATTGGAATCTTCTTTTAAAGGTGACTTAGGCTATTCACAAGTCATTGGGAGGAGGAATAAATTATGTTAATTTGTAGAGAATCCTTATCAGATGCAATATCAAATAATTATACAATTAAGTTTTTGACTATACAAGAAACAACATAATACGATATGAACTGTAAAAAACCATGCATTCTTTTATCTTTGGAAAATATTGTTGGTGATATTACCCGTTACATATCTATAAATTGATGTATTATTTGAGTATTATTTCCACTGGTATTTGTGGAATTCGTACACCTGCCTCTGTACATATTAACCAGGTCAGCAGGTGCAGGATCAGGTGGTCTGTCAGGTAAATCTGAGCTGTTCACACAATATTCTATCTACAGCCTTGATACAGCTTACAGTGAAAAATTCCACAATTTAAATGAAATCTTGTAAATCTGATCAAGTACTTATTACAGTTAAAACTGAACTTTTTACGTACTCTTACATCCTTTTAGATTGAATTTGTTATTTATTTGGAGATTTGCTTCTGATTAACATATTGGTCTAGTCTATCACTTGAAAAAGAATTTCTAAGAAATTTTAAGAGTTGTCCCTTGGTCCAGTTAAGGTCCCAATGCTGACCTGCTAACATGTGTACTTAAGGTCTTCCTCTAGTACATGTAACACAAAGTCCACCTGTTTATCTCCACACACTGGATTCCTGAAAGATTTGTGGTTGTGATGCAAGTACTATTACAGTATGAAATAGTTGAGTTGTGTAGCTATATATTTCATTTTGATTTTTTCAAAAAATTTTATTTGTTTCACTTTTTTTTCTTTGTGTGTGTGTGCCATGTTGTTAGCTCAGTTGTAAATCAGGCATCTCGTTTTTCTCTCCATCTCATTTGTAAACCAAATGACTTTGGCATTGAATAAAAGCCAGCATTAAATTTACAACAGAATAGAGAATGTATTTGCATACAACCAGTTAATTGGTTATTGGCAATTTATTGAATATAAAAAATTAGTTCCAGCAAAACCATGGAACCACATAACAGTAACATTTTGTCACAGTTATGTTTTGTAAATACCATTAAAATACTTGACATATTTCAAGGACATCAATAATGGAAGGTTTTATCATGCAAACAATATTTTACCAAAATGAGACTCAAGTCAAAAGAAAAGCTTCCATCATTTAAAATTTTTCAGAAATGACAAATCAACTTGCTGGCTCTCAGGTTAGCTGAGGCCAGACACTGCAGCGACACAAAGGAATATTTCTATATTTGTACAAGAACCTTTCTTTATTCTTCCCTACTGGAACAGAGGACCAGAAATAAAACAGAGTTGTTTCAGCATATGGATCCAGAATCAATGACAAATGATTTATAGACAGTTTTATGTGAAAAAACGGCCTCCTAACAACTCTCTATGGGATCAATGGGCTCCTTAATGTGTTACATGAAAGGGTCAGCCCGGTACCTTCATGCCATTGGTCTTAATTGGTATTAAGTAAATGGCATTCTCCAACAAGATATGGATTAAATGTACAGGAGTTGCTGAACCAGACTGTTTGGCTCTTTCCTGCCTCATAAAACCCAAACAACCAAATAACTTGGCAGCAGGAATGCTTGCATCCATTACTTAATATTAAGAACGATAATGTCTATTCACTGATAATATTTTTTGTTTTATAGTTCATAAAAAATATATTGCGTACATGTTTTAAAAACTCTGACTGCATATCTAAAATATTTTTCACAATGCTTTTTCTTGATTCTGTTTTTAGATTATCATTATTTCTTTATTTGTGCAGCATGGCACTTGGCAACTTTGCAATACTAGACAAAGAGGAGAATAAACAAAATACCCTCTCTTTCAATTATGAGAAAAATAATCAGCATATTTCTATTAGTAATAGGGAGATATGGTGTACTTTCCATGGAATAAAAAGCACAAAAAATTAAATCAAAATTACGTACTGTAAATTGAGCAATTGGAACATGCTAATATTTCCCATGGTTCAGAATTAAGAGCAAGCTCAGATTAGAAACATACATACTAAGTACAGTATAGAACACTACATTAACATGTAAATAAAGTAAAACATATCAAAATGGCAACAAAGAAAATGGTTTAAAATCAATTCTTAATCAAAATACAAAATTCTTGTTAAAT